AACAACAACAACACCGCCACCACTAGCACCACCACTAACAACAACAGCAACAGCCGCAACAACAGCAGCAACAGCAGCAGCAGCAGCAGCAGCAGCAGCAGCAGCAGCAGCAGCAGCAGCAGCAGAAACAACAACAACAGCAACAGCAACAGCAACAGCAACAACAACAGCAACAACAGCAGCAACAGCAGCAACAGCAGCAACAGCAGCAGCAGCAGCAACAACAACAGCAACAGCAACAGCAACAGCAACAGCAAACACAGCAACAACAGCAGCAACAGCAACAGCAACAGCAAGGGCATCAGCAGCAGCAGCAGCAGCAACAGCAACAGCAACAGCAACAGCAACAGCAACAGCAACAGCAACAGCACTGGCAGCAGGCAGCAGGCAGCAGGCAGCAGGCAGCAGGCAGCAGGCAGCGGGCAGCACAGCCAGCAGCCAGCAGCCAACGGCCAACGGCTAACGGCCAACGACCAACAACCGACAACGGCCAACGACCAGCGACCAACGACCAACGATTGCCTTAGCCGTGCTATGTGACACAGCGAGAGCCGAATCTCCACGCAAGTGTCCCACGTGACCGCAGTAGCCGCGTCGGCCAAGGCAGCCCGTGCCATGACTGCGGAGGCCGCGGCAGAGCAGCCCCGCGCCCCCTTCCCCCCGCAACGCCCGTGCGTCAGGGAAAAGGAAGGGCGCAGGCGACGGCCCCAAGCTGGCGGGCGCAGCGGCAAGGTACGCCGCGGAGACAGGCGTGCTCGCTCGGCCTCGGCAAAAGCTCGGTCTTGCCGAAAGCGGGTGTTAGGTGAAAGCGGCCCCAGCCATGGGGCCAGTCGCCAAGTTCGCCGCCACCCGCCGCAGCGGGTGGCGCTGCTCGTGCAAGGAGTTGCTGCCAAGACGGGCGCTCGAACCAATACTGCCCACTGCCCGGAGCAGGTTGCCGGCCGCCGCCGCCTCGCCCGCGCTACGCCTTTTCCACCCGCGCCGGTACGGACTGGCTGGCGCGTGTTTTGCGTGTGGCCACGGAGGCAGCGCGAGGCCACTGTGTTTTCCGAAAATGCGTGTCCGGCAAGCGTGTGCGCCCAGCTCGTGTTGCGTGGGCCAGGCGCACGTCGTCGAACAAGGCGAAGGGGCGGACACGGGGACCCCGTGATGCCTGCCCTGTTTGCGCTTGCGCAGCCTTGCAGGCCACGCAGGCAGCGCTTTTTTGCCAGGTGAAGTTTTCGTCGCGTTTTGAAAGACATCTACATCTTCTTGCGGCCCGGTCGGGCACGTGCGTTTTTCGATTTCCAAGGACAAGCCGGAAAGTCGAGGTTTTGGGGCCGTGGAAAACCTCAGCTGGGCCCCCTCTCGGCAGAACCTGCGCGTTCGCGCAGGCAAGCATAGAAATCACGAAAATCGAGGTCGCAAAAGGGCTTAACTTAGGTTTAAGCTGGATTTACTTAACTTACATAGGGGCAAAAAGTCGTTTCAGCGCGCTCAAATCCACAGCTGGGTCTTTGGAAGCCTTCCCAACTTACTTACCTTGGGCATCCTTTTTTGAGGCGTATCCCTGCCGCGCCGCACTTGCCGGGCTGACACCCTCATGATCCAAGCGCGACTCCTGGTTGTCGCAAGCTTCTGCATGCTGCGGGTGGCGCCGGGCCGATGGCTTCCAGGTGTCCGGCCTGGCGTGAGCTGTTGCGCTTGGATCCGCGCAGCCAAGGGAGACTTTGGCGATCACACCTGTGGATGGCAGCGTGCTGCCGGAATTGTGTTTGACGCCACCGATGAGGCACCATGCCTCCCCATTCCCGAGTTCAACGTCCCACATCCTCCTTTCCGGAACGCGGCCTTGCACGATCTCCCCTTCAGCGAGCGGGTGTGCTCATGTTGACCTCAACCTCAAAGCGCTTTTGCTGGACGGCCGACGCCTCGCCCATTTGGGGCGGCCTGCAGGTCAGCGACCGCGAGCCTGGCCTGGCCCAGCCCCAGATCCGCCACGCGCCACCACACTTACCCTGGAGCCGGCGCTGCCCGTCCGCGACCTGGAGGTGGGGGTCGGTAACTCCCGGAAAGGGTTCGCGCACACCAAATGCTGCGCGGGGCTGCTGTGCAGGCGTATGCGCGGCGGTGGACAAGGCGCCGAAGCCCACTTGGCGCCGGCGCTTTGGCTTTCCAATTTGGAAAAGGCGTCTAAAAAAAACTGCACAAATGTTGTGATGTACACAAGTGTGATGTTGCTTGTGTACACTGCGTCGTGCCACGTATCCAGGCACTACTCTGCTCTCTTATTGTGATGCCTTCCCTTTTAGACTCGTCGACCACCGAAGAACTCTTGTGTCACAAGAGCTCCTTTGTTTTTTTGGCTGCTGGAGTTCCCTTGGTGCACAGCCTGAGAAACAACCAAAGCTTGGGTAGATGAAGCTTAGTCGGAAGGTGCCCTGTTTGAAGATGGTTTAAAGGCAAGCCACCGTGAAAACACACACACACACACACATTTTAGGGCTTCCTTACTTTGTCATATGCCCAAGCCGCCTCCATCCGCGTTTATCCTTTCCGGGTCGGGTTCGGCTCACCTGAAAACATCGAAGAAGTCATAGCTTGTCATGTGAAAAGTGCGCGACCCGAGAGAAGCAGAAAGCAGCAAGACACACACGCCACAGAAAACGATCGAACACAGCAGAGAGCTTCAGGCAACGTCAGCGCCGAAGAAACGAGTGAGCAAACACACAATTCATCAGACGACCAAGCAAACACAAGACAAGCAGCAAAGAAGCAGACCAAAAAACAAACAAAAAAAAACAAGACTTGCGAAGAACAATCTCCGGACCCATCCGCGTGGATTTCCTCCGCCATGGGTGCTACGGAAAGCTGCCAGCGCTGCTGCGGACGGGACTGGGAACTTCTGGAGGATGGAGGAGGCTAGGACCCGATACCCCCACCCCCCAACCCCCCCCCCCCACAAAATTGGTTTAAACATGTTCAAACCATAAGACCCTTGGACCCCCTTTTTTGGGAGCGTTGCTAGACCTGGCTGACTTTAGTTTCCAAGGTGTTTGCTCTCCAGGCAGCTTTTTTTTTGGGGGGGGGGAAGTCTACAATTGCGATCACAACTGACTGTGGAGCAACCTTCTGGACCTTTTGGGCCAGCCCAGATGTTGTTTTCAGACAATCTGTCGCTTTCTTTTGGGAAGAGCGTTTTAGTGGCAAATAAAAAGACAAGCCACACATCCTAGATTGTGGTAGATGTCCATCCACATCCCCAAGCTTTTTGACCATTCCTGAGGCCGGCGGCCCCTGTACCCCACCAGCGAGGTCTCGGAGCCTTTAAGCGTCAGGGGCCCTGTGGTGGACCCCCGTCAGCTGCTGGCGGCCTTTCGGCGGAAAGAAGGGCACCCCCCCCCCAAATCAAGAAGAAAAAAAAAGAAGGAAAAGAAAACACATGACCCGTGCAAGATCCCTTGCACACCTTTCCATGTAGCCACCCAAGAGGGAAAGATAAGGATTGGGACAGGGTTGCCCAAGAGCTTGTCAAAATAGCAATGGGGCATGTGAAACGTCTAAAGTGGAACGACCAAGAGGGTGATGCCCCCTTAGGAAAGAATGGCCTTCGCCCATGGCAGATGATCGAGGTGGGGGAGTTGGGGTTGACCTCTGCCCCAAAAAAACCTTGATCCTAAGGTGTCCTGCTCGCTTGCCCCCACCCACCCACCAAGGTGTTCCAGAAACAGAAGTCAAATTATTCCACAAGGTAATTTCTGGAGCTACATGGAACGAATGGCAGGGATAAGCCTGGGGAGGAGTTGGTAGCAAGTCTGAGAAGGAAACACATCCAAGAGGTGTGTAAAGGAGAGTGCCAAATGACGCTAGGAAACCAACTGTTTCTGGGATTCGTAAATATTCGTAATGCTAGGACGCATGTGTGACAGCCGATTGGGCAAGCAGCACCCCCTGACGCCTGAGTAACTCAGTAATGAGTATGCAGGGGGAGCGGGCCTACCGAGCCGGTGCCTTCATACTTTGCCCTTTTGTGGGCACCAGGGAGGCCGCAACTCCCCAAACTCGTTGATTTCCGTTGGCATCATTTCAGCCAGCATAGTTCCTTCCCATTAGCCTGTGGATTTCCATCTTAAGAGCGACCTTATCCGACTCAACCTTTTCAGTCAGAGGCAGTTGTCAGGTGAACATGATTGAGATATGGAGGGTTAATACCGGTATCATGCGGTGCGTGTCTGTCACCTTACAAAGCCTTTCTTGGTATACATGCGACCCGTACCTTCAAACCTCGATGTCTCAACTACTTGAGCGGGCAATTGGCTAGCTGGTTGCCGGCCCGCGCCCAAAGAGGGACCCAAAACTGGACTCTCGGACCCCCAAGAAGGCCCAAAAGCAACCCGAGTGCCTCTCATAGGCCGAAGAGGCGCAAACATCGCCCCTGGGATTGGAATTGGGGGCCTTGGGCCCTCGACAGTCATAGATTCGGGCTGAGTGGGAAATGGCGATGGCTGGTCAGGCTCTTTGGTGGGACCCCAAAGCGTAAGTTCTCCGTTCGTCAAGAAAGGCTCCAGCGCCGGAGTGAGGGGAAATGCTCACCATTAGGGCAATTTGAATTGAAAAAAAGAGTGTGATAGGAAATAGATCCAGCTTCTCCGAAAGCCCGGGTTTTTGGGAAAACCGGTGAGAGAAGGCGCTGAGATTGCATTGGGGCACACCATGAATCTTTAACGTGGCCAAATCTTTCGGGAACAAGGCCAGTATATGGGGGGAGTTCCAGGTATGTGTCCTTTTGAACACCTTTTTGGAGCTGTTTGGATGCTCAACTGCCACGCATATGCTACCACGCATGGGCGAATATAGCACAAGGCCAACTATATTAATTTCATTGCCTGGCCCGCTTTCAATGTTCCCAAGTTCTGAACACAAAACCGGCTTTGCAATGAGCTCAGTGAACGAATCAAATCGAGGCTGGCAAAGTTGGGGAAGCAAGCAGCGACATAAACATGTACGAGTTTTGGAGGCATGAGTCATCTTAGATATCGCCAATATAAGCTTGTAAGGCAGGAGGAATATCTCCTAAAACCAGAAGCAGAACATTCCCTGGAATTCCCCCATGGCGAAACAATCATCATACCCATACCCTTTCGGGGTAGTGGAGACAAACCGTCACGCGAAATCTGTGTGTGTGTGTGTGTGTGTCCGGTCCCTCCTTGTTGGGTAGTGGAAACAATCTTTTTTAAGCATATCTGTATGCACATATATACATATATACATATATACATATATATATATACATATATATATATATACATATATACATATATATATATATAAATATATATATATATATACACATGCTAGTTTCATAAGGGCTATGGAGCCTTCATGGCTCCAAAACCCATAGTTTAACTCCCCCGCTTGAGGACTTCCTGTGCGCCGGGGACGACCGTGGCCCGGGTGGCTTCCTGCAGCAGCAGGCCTTGCTGAAGAGGGCGGACGGCGATGACACCAAGCGCCACGGCCTGTGTGCGTGTGCTTTTGAGGAACTCATTCAGGAAGCCCGCAATGGTGTTTCTTCTGTTTGTTTTTGATTGGGAGGTATTTTGTTAGTGGTCCTTTCCGCTAGCTTTCCAAAATCGGGGATCCCCCAAACTGAGTGGGTGTCTTTTGGTTTGCAATTAAAACCATACCAAAGGGGGCCCCAATTTTGCAAGAGGACACTAAAGGGGGATGGGCCCAACCCCCTGCGAACAACCCATTTAATTTATTGGTTTCGACACTCATTCCGCACTTTCGGACCCCAGAATTGGTCCCAAGGACTGGAATGAACAAGGGATATGTACCTCCCTGGAATTCGAAAGAAACTTGGGTCATAGGTACATGGATGTTCAATAGGCCAACTTGAACAAGTTACATTTACAAGCTGATGTAAAGAAGCCCTTGGCCCTTGTAAATCAGATGGTTCTTGGGATCTAAGGAACCCTGTTCAATTTGCCTAAGACCATAAGCATGGGAGATTCGGGCGGGCGAGGCGAGGTTGGCTGTCTTATGCCCACTGGTCATAACCCATGGGACCAACGGCGCAACCGAAGGTCAGTGACCATGGAGCTCCAGAAACGGCTACGGGGAGGGGGGGGGGCTATCCCCTATTAAACCCCAAGCACCTAGGGGGCTGCCCCTTGGAGGTCAGCGGGGCCCTTTTTGTTCTTAATTCTCCAGTGAGCAAACTCACTAACAACTGGCCTACATGCCGTCAAGCAAACCCAAAGGCCACATATTCTGCAGCAGTTCCTCTGCCCCCAACTCCCAACCCCCCCCCCCCCGTCCACGGAATGAGTTGCCGAGGTGGTTCGCCGTGTTCCGGCCCACCAGCGCGGGGAGGCCCAGATGGAGCAAGAAGCTCGAGGACTTCCATCGAGGAAAAAAAAAAGGAGCGCGGTATACCCTATATTTACTGGCTCTCAGTAGGGATACTGACGCCGACAAAAACCATCCCCTGGTGTCTCAAGGGGAACCATGGTTCATTCTCAAATTTTCTTAGTTGATTTCCTAAGAACCAACAAGTTTGGGAAGTGGCTGGTGGTCGTATGGGGGCACGTAGTGGAAGCAATCTTGGAGAAGCAGCTTGCTTCCTTCGCAAATGCCAGGGAATCCCCACTCAACCATGGAATTGGGGATAGAGATTCTGACATTTTGAGTTCTCCATTTAGAAGGCTTGAGCATGGAATTGGGGAGACCTGCGACAAAGCGGGATTTGAAGAATGCTTTTACTTGATGATGCACCTTTACCTTTGAACGTCTCTTGGGCAACACTTGGGCAACATGTCGTACAATGTGTTTGGGTGTCACTAGTTTTGCAACGTTTCCGAAGGGAAGGACTAAGGGCAGTTCAGGATCTCTTGTTAATATTATGACTTGTGTTGTCCAAGGTTCTGCTACAAGCTGCAGGTTTGTTGGACGAAAGTCTCGGCAGAACAAAACAAACAGTTTGCGCATAAAAAGGGTGGCTGAAAGCGTGCACAAGAGAGGCCTGTAGATTGTGTAGAGCAGCCAATCAAATTTATATTTTCCAGAATGGCTCATCTCCACTCATGAAAGAATGCTGATTTTCCGGCAGGTTTCCTGTTTGGAAGTTTTCCTTGAGATCTTCAAGGAACAATCGGCCGGTCTTGAGTGTGATCTCAGGTTGACGCGATCAACAAGATGATGGACGGCTCTGGGACGGGGAAAGGTCTCAATGTGAAGGGCAAGTCAGCAAAGTCTGGCCGCCTTTCAGGCGCGGGGCAAAAACCTGCATCGCTCAAGCGACGTACCTGTTGCGTTGCACACCTCCAAGCTGGTGCTTGTAGGTTCCTCATGTTTGTCACGCTCGGTTAAGAAGTCTAAGCCTGGGCGTTCTGGCATCCAGCCGGGACCAGGATTGGCGGCTTGACCCCGCAGCTGTGCAGATAAACCAACAAAATCCCAATTGTGGACAAACAAAAACGGGGGCACTTGACTTTGCCCAACATGGGGCCTGAAAAAAGCAAGATTTCTGCCTATTTCATAGCAAGCTGGCCGATTGGGTTTGCCAAACATGAGGTCACTTGGGTCCTTTACTTCAAATCCCTGACTTCAGGTTTTGGACGTATGCCCTCTTGCCCACTTAACACCGAACCCGCCAGTGGGTCCCTTAAGGCAGGAGGCTACTCCCCAAATTAACGGACGTGGCTCTTGGCTGCAGCTTCGCAGGCTTCGTCCCGGTGCTGCAGATCAGCGAGAACCGCCACAAGGCGCAGGTCTGTACATCGCCCCCCGAGGCTCGCGTCAGCCACCTGGCCAGAGGCTCCGAGCCGGGTTCGCCCAAGCCTTTGCCTTCGTATTCTTCGTGATCCCACAGATGCGCCGACCTCCCTAGGTTGTGGCTTTGTTTTTTTTGGGATCAGGAGTGGATCTCAAGATGCATGGATATTTATTTGTAACTATATACACAAATAGATATTCACATGTGCGTGTGTGTTTAAATGCAAATATATATATATATATATATATATATACACATCAAGCAAAGATTGCGTGGCCTTCTGTTGTTCAGAGCAATGCCAGGGGAATGTAACGCATTCCCAACAATTCACAACTTGTTTACAGGTGTTTAGCAGGGGACGTCCTAACTAAAGTGGAGTTAGAATACATGCAACATTTTAGCAGTGACCAAAAGTGGGGCAACCACATTCATGGTGAGGTTTATCAGTGCCAAAGGGCCAAACATGTCGCATTCGGAGGTTGAAGGCTTGACGTACAATTCACAATGGACAAGAAGAGGGGAGGCGGAACCACCCTTTGGCATTTTTGTGGAATCCATCTGGCTCCCGAGGAAAAATAGAACAATTACATACCGTATTGCACACCTCGCGACTGGACAGAGAACTCGCACACACCACCATCAGTCTCATTTTGCATTCCCTTTTCAGAGTTGCGCACAGGGTTTGGAAAGAACTGCATAACAGGGGCGGGGCTCTGTGAATTCTTCTGCCCATTGGAGTGTGCTCTCTAGTTTGGGGGGGGGGTCAAACAAGCTTGAGCCCCAGGATCAAGTCCTTCACTACGGGATCCGTTTGTTGTTTCCAGCTAGCATTTTTTTGCGGAAAGGACTAGAGCCTATACAGTCCCTGACCACGCCCTCCAAATCCTCTTGGAATGTAAGTAGGGCACGGGCGGCTAGGGGCTGGAGGCCTGGGCTGGTATTTGCTGCGGGTTCCGGTTGTGGGAGCTCTTCGTGTTGTACAGATGCAGGCCTTTGCGGCCAGGTGTGTGTTCTGTTGTGGACCAGTGGAAGGTGTTGGGTTTTGGGGAGTGGCAATCAAGCCCCGGATAAATTAAGGGTATGAGGGGCAGTCCAACCATAGGTGTGGCAAGGAGCCCTTTGGCAAAGTTTGAGTTCTTTACATGGTTTTGGGCAATGGGGCTTTTCTATTTCTCATGATTCCCCTGTACGGTCATGATTCAATGTGGTTTTAACGTGCCCCACCCCATTCTAGTTGTTTGGGCCCCCAACTTCCTTTCTTTCTTTTTGTTGGGGGGGGCCTTACAAAACCATAGCGGCACGTGTTTTGGGTCTGCAAATGCTGTTTTCGGCCCGAGGGGGTCCATGGGATCCCGTTTTAGGGTGTTGGATCATAGCCAGGGGGAACCACGGCCCAGTTGCTCAGAAAATTGCAATCCCGTTGCCCCTAGGTATCTTTTTTTAGCCAGAAAGGCATGGGTTCCTTTAAGCAGGTTTTCCTGCCATTGCCAGACTTGCTTTGGACGGACGAAATCCTGGTCCTGCACCACTCTGAAACCATGGGAAGCCATTGCTCGTTGCATTTGCAGGGGAAGATTTCGTCCATCCATGGTATCTTTCATTTTATCCTTTTTCCTTTGTTGTGTTCCTTCGTGTTCCCTGTCAACTTTCAACTAGCAGCTGAGCTTTTGCAGTTCGGATCCGTTTGGCCCAGTAAGAGGGGTCACTGGTTGCAAATGGGGCGGTGTCCCCCTATCTGCGGGTAAAGCGAGCTTATGAAGATCCTTTACCTGCAAATCCGATTTTCATTTCAGGTTTTGGCACCAACATGGGGCGTTTCTTGGCCTTTGACCCTTGTTGAACGTCATGGGTCAAGGCGTTATCGATGGTTCCTTTACCCCGCGGCCCAAGTTAGGTCGAAATTGAAGGTCGTGGGGTGCCCGAAGCCCAGGAATCTACTTCCCCCGGGAGGAGATGTGCACGTCCGTGCTGCTGCGCATGCGAAAGGCGCGCGCATTCGCCTTTTTTGAAGCGGGCATTTGTTTTGGGGTTGTTTCAGGCGGAAACCTGAAGAAAACCAGCCTTAAGTTGAGGTTCCCTCATTGGGAACAAATCCATGCGGGGTTTGTGTTACGCTGCTGCTGGGTGCTGCTAGCTTCCCTTCCCCTTGTTTGGTCCAATTTAGTTTAGTTCCCTCCTTATTTGGAGCATATTGGAGCTATTTTAGGCAATGTCAGAGTTCGGGCACAATTTGCCTAAACAATTCTAAATAACTAGCCCCCGCTACCCTCCAAAGGGACCAGAAGGAGACATCGTGTAAACTGTTAGTTGGCCCCAGAAGTCCTCTTACAGGGTTTCCTGTATTTCCTTTCAGGGTGGGCTTGCGCAAGAGTTGCTTTTGGAGTGATGTTGAGCGGGGACTTCTTCATAGAAGCCAGCAGGATTTTCTGCAGGTTTAGCAAATACCAACCAACCAAGGTTTCCTGTAGACTTTCCCGTAGCCCGCAGTCCCGCAGGCCTTGGACGACATGTCACGGGTGGCGCGAGCCGCCTCTGAACGGCTGCAGTTGCATAAGGCGGGACGACAGACGGGCTGAATTTGGATGCAATGACTCAGAGGGTTTAATCATCAACTACCTCCTTAAAAGGTACTTGAACCCTTTGGGCGATGACAAGCTTGACTGGCTGGTTTTTTGGTTGGACTGATCGAATTGCCTATCTATGTTCGCGTTGTTTTAGCGCAAAACACCGAGCAAATGCGTGAACGGGAGGTGTCCGTTCCCGCGCACCAGCCAGATGACATGGCACAGTTTAACTCGATGGTGCGCTTTGTCAAGATCCCTCAAGGGAGATCTCCACGTGCAATGTGGATTCCACTAGTTTGAGACAAGCCCAGTTTGCAAGCAAGAGAAAATTCGGATACCGATCCTCTAACTTAGGATAGTTTTTAGCCATTGTGGTTCGAGTATGGTTGGTGCTTTGTTTAGGGCACCAGCTGTATCTCCCCAATGTGACGAGCTCGCACACTTGGGGATAGAACAAGCTCACCATGATGATGCTCCCTTTCTCAAGGCGCTCAAGGATCCCTTATTTAGGGAGTCAAATGGAGTAAATTTATCTAAACTCTGCAAGCGTATTCTGCAAGGCCCCACACCAAAACCAACACGCCCTGCTTTAAGAATGAAGCCTGGCCGGTGCTCCCCAGATCTCCAGTGCTTGTGTCGTTTGCGTCATATATTTTGTTTGGGGGGGGGAGGGGGGGTGACATCAACCACACATGTATCCCTTTTGCCCCTGTAAATCCCCAGGTCCGGGCCCCTGACAGGCCCGGAGGGGCAGCCGCTGCAAATCGGGTGTGGCGTTTTTCGACGTGCTCAACGCATGTGCCCCACTTACCAAAGCAGAACCAACGAGGGGATCGGCAGTTTGCCCTTTTTTCATTGAGCCCGTCTTTTGAACCGGGCTACGGATATGGCCACAAAGTCACAGATTTTTCGCATGGCTCAGAAAGCTTTTGGGAGCCGAAGCCAACAAAGCCAACAAAGCCAACAACAGACCTCGAATGGCGCCCTTCTCCTTTTGTTTCGAGCAGGAGCCCCTTTATCCTCAGTCAAAACAGAGATGTCACACCCCATTCCTTGAGGCGGGCAAGCGGCCACTGACGGATGAAGAGGAGGCCAAAGCCTTCAAGGACCTGTTGATGGAGGCCAGGTCTTGCAAAACAGTGGATACCGACCTTTAGTCCATGTTTAGTCAAGGTTCACTCAGTCAACATTGGTCCTTCTTCTTACCCACACGAGGCAGACAACAGATTTTCCGGTCATTACCAAAACGGTTTTGTAGCAGAGCCCGTATTTCGCAAGCAAATGCGTGGTGCAAGCACAGTCGTTTGCCCGCCTGTCAGATAAATACATGTATGGCCACCTTGTTGACAAGACTGCCTCACCCGCACACGCCCTCAGTCAAAGAAGCCGACCAAGCAATGCTCTTCTTTGAAAAGTTGGTACCTGGTACTTCCACTTCCCTGGTTGGTTTTCAAAACATCTTGACTTCAAAGGGCAGGAAATTGTTCCTCTTTTCGAGTCGGCACTTTTCGGCTTTGCATCTCCAGGCATCCAGACAAAAAAAAATCCGGGCTCGATGTCAAAATCATGTGAGTCTTAAGGAGAGCCCGGAAAAATGGTCAATCAGGTTGAACCTTATCCAATCATTTGAGTCAGGGGGAGGCCACCTGATCTGAAGACGCGAATCGGGCCCCGAGAGGTGGAGGATGACTCCATGCACGTGCTGCAGCTCTACAGCCCCGAGGCTTGGGGCTTGGCGCCTTGGCAGCCATCGGCTGAGCGAGCCCGGCCTCGGTGGAGGGGATTGCGGGCTTTTGATTTTGAACCCCAGCAGGGGGACGGGGGTGTGATTTTCATTTTTTCAGGGTGCAGTGGGTGCAGTATTCTTTTGGGCCTATGGAAACCAAAAGGAAACCAAACTCATTCTGGGGAGTGCTGAATCCGATTTTGAGGCAAACACACCGGCCGCAAATCCTGAAACAGTCGGGATGGATAACCCGCAAAACATACTTGGACAAACCACCTACCAACTGGAGCCAAGCGAATTTGGTCATCCACAGGGCGGTTGTCTGATTCTAGACGGGACCATTTGCTTTTGCAGCTAAAGAGTCCCAGCTCAGGACGTCCCGGAGCGAGTCTTTCGGGAAGTGTCGCTCGGCTTATTTGGCGCGTTGGGCTGGCAAATTGGTTCCAAGGCCTGGGCAAGTACTCGACTTGTTGTGTTGTGTGTGTGTGTGTCTGGTTGTGCGCGTGCCTGTGCGCACGCCTGTGTGTGCGCCTGTGCGGGTGCGTGTGCGTGTATGCGCGTGTGTGCGTGTGTGTCATTGTGTGTCTCTATGTGTTTGTGTCTGTGTTTGGCCCTGGTGCCGCCTTGTGCCCCCTTCTAAACAGGTCTGAAGAAGGCCGTATTAGTGTCTCTCTCTGCTGGGAAGCTAGGCGAAAGAAGACCCTTTGACGGTTGGCCGTTGACCTGGGCCTTCAACCTGGTCTTTTCTGTTTGAAATGGTTGTTCCCCATGAACTGCAAACCTTCAATTTGCTGCTCACAGTGATCCCAACAAAACAACATGATGCTTTTGACATGGTCCAATCACGTGTCTCCATGACGCACTGATTTGGAGCCATAGCAAGAGGAGCGAAGAGCAGGTTCTGACCCTCAATAGTCAATGGTCCTTTATGGGTCTTGAGAGCTACTAGTATTCGTGTTTAGTCTTCTATGACCCCCCTTATCCTTTATGGCTTGCAGTGTCCGAACGGGTCTGCCCGTGCTCCACACTAATGCTGGCCGCGTTTGCGACTGTTAGCTAGCTTGTTAAGGAGGCAAGGGACATCTTAGCCGGCTAAGAAGGAGCCACTGCCTGGTAAAACTGAAGCCGACCCGGCTAGAAAACTGAAGCTGGAGTCAGAGAGCCGCGAAAGTTAGTTAGGCTGAGAGGTGGCGGTGTAAGGTGGGATAATAAAGCTGTGCAAACCTAGATATTGATGGTTTCTTCGCAGGCATGGTTGTTCAAAGAACTGGCAATCCGTTAAACATAGATAAAGGCACTGGCACATTTGTTTGCAGCAGTGGAAAGTTTGTTACCGTGGCCGGAAGCTTGTTAAAGCAGCTGCCTGTCTCTTAAAACAAGTGAAAGTTTGTTGAACTTGCTAGTTGGCTGTGCAGATGACTAGAAGCTTGGTTATGTAAAGGGTTGGAAGTTTGTAGGGAAGGCTGCAGGTTTGTAAAAGCGGCTGTGAGTTTGTGAGAGGGGGCGTTCGTTGAGCAATGTCGCCTTCTCCTTGCAGCACCGGTCATCGCGGCTGCTGCGCGTCGGGCTTCAACTTCTCATTCCAGCACCTCTGCGGTTCGCGCGGCTGCCGCGTGTCGGGCTCCAACCTTCGGGCGCGGCTGCGCGCAAGCACCCATCCATTCTCGTCAGCTTAAAGCGGCACTGCGCAAGCCCACCTCCCTGCGCGTTATCACCTCTTGGCTTGGACCCCAAAATTCGGAGCGAGAACAAGGAGAAAGCGGGGCGCGCGTGGGTTGGCCTTGGCCCAAGGATTGAAGCCCGATACGCGGCAGCCGCGTAGTCGGGCACAACCCTCGGGCCAGGCCCACCGGAATGGTGGCTGCCTCTTGCAGGCACCCATCCCCGCATCACGCGGCTGCCGCGTGTCGGGCACCAACCCTCGGGCCACCCAAACTCTTGCAAGCACCCATCCGACCCATGCGCTTGTGCTTCAACGCAGCTGTGTCGGGCCTGAATCTTCGGGCCGCAGGCCCACCCAGACGGCGGCTGCTCCCAGCGTTGCGCTTCCTCCGCGGTCGGGCCTCAACCCTCGGGCCGCAGGCCTACCAGGTGGCTGCACATGGCCGACATCACCGTCGTCTGCATTTTATCTATGTGCGTCGCCTTTCTCCTTGCCGCATCCTGAACGGACGCGGCTGCCGCGAGCTGGGCTTCAATCCTCGGGCCTATGCTCCAGACATCTCCAGACCAAGCGCGCTAGACTTTTTCACGCGGCTTTCCGCCGGAAGCCTCTCTGCAGTTTAGATTTCAATAGCTTGAATCTCTTGGTCAAATATTACCTTCGCGCCCTACCCCTGCTGCCCTGCAGTCCTTTAACGCGGATTTTCTGTAGGTTGATTGGCTGGCAGTCGTGCAAGTGGGAAAACTTGCCCGAGCAAACTTGTTAACAGGCATACAAGTAGACAACGGGGCCATAATGAGCAATCGAGAAGCAACCCGTATCATATGATTCTGTCTAGACATGTTATGGCTATCTGAATAACCTTGTACGCGCGATCAACAGTGTCTGAAAGCTGAAAGGCTGCGATCAAGTTAGAACCAGCTCACGTTCTCGGCGACACAGACGTGAAAGCGGCTTTCCTTGCAGGCTCCGCGTGTTGTGTTGCAAAGTGCGCCGGCCAGCCCGCAAGGCGCTGGGAGTTCTGGGCAAGTGGCAACCAAGCAAAGTGCTGCCGAAGGCGCCCCGCCCTAAAGAGATGCGGGTTTACACGGGCAAGTCGCAAGGCGCTAGCGCCTATGAAAGCTTGGTGGCGGAGGCCTTCAGCCCAAGCTTGGGGTGGCCCCAGCTAAGAAAGCAGTCTCAGACCAACTACAGCTTCCAGCGGCATCCTTGAAGGGAGTGACACGTGACGCAAACGGCTCTGAGGGGCGCGGCAGATCTCAAGATGGACAGGCAAGCGATGGCAAGCGTTGCGGGCAACGCGCGAACGCGCGACACGGCTCAAGGTCAACTCCCGTCTCACGGTCAACTCCTCATTCTTACGTGACGCGAGTAAGTAACGCCGAGGTCAAGCACCCAAGTGGCAGGCCAAATCCGGAGTTTCATGGGCAAGTTCTCTACAGCGAGCGTAGCCGCGACCTGAATTAACGATTGAGGCGCCAAAAGGGTTTACACGGCCAAATGTCAAGCGCCCACATGGCAGGCCAGATCCGAAGCTACACGGGCACGTTCTACAGTTAACGCAAACGTGGCCTGAGTTAACGGCGGAGGGGTAAGAGCGATGCAAATGGCCCGAGGTCAAGCGCCCGAGTGGCAGACTAGATCCGGAGTTACACACGCAAGTGCGACAGTTAACGGCCACATGTCCTGAGTTAACGGTGGGCGTGCCAAAGTTGTTTACATGGCCCGAGGCCAAGCGCCCGAGTGGCAGACCAGATCCGGAGTTACACGCGCAAGTGCCACAGTTAACGGCGACGTGACCTGAGTTAACAGCGAAGATTCAGAAGTAGAGCAGTTCAAGTGGCCCGGGGTCAGGCGCCCGAGTGGCAGACCAGACCCGGGGTTACGCGGGCAAGTTCTACTGTTAGCGGCGAGGTCACTGCGTTAACGGGCGGAGTTGCGACAGTAACTCGACATGCCCGAGGTCAGGAGCCCGAGTGCCAGACCAGATCCGGAGATATGCGGGCCAGTCCTACAGTTAACGGCGAGGTCACTGAGTTAACGGGCGGAGTTGCGAAAGCGACTTGGATTGCCCGAGGTCAAGAGCCCGAGCGGCGAGCCAGGGCCGGAGTTATGTGGGCAAGTTCTGGGTTGTAAACAGCTTCGCGGAGAAGGCTGCCGGCCAAAATGCTCAAGCGAAGTGGGTCACCTGTGCGTATAACACCTGACCGCAAGGTGAAAGCAGCGCGTGTTCGAGCTGAGGCGAATCACTAGAAAGTGACAGCGCAAGCTTATGAACATGCAAGCGGCGGGGTTTTTGGGCATTGGACCGCCCTTAACGAGCAAAATGAGTTAGGGTTTCGCTGCGGCCCGAAGCGTGCCACTTGCCAAAGGATTCCAAACGTATCGCGCAGTCTGCCACGCAGCCGTCCGCGGAGTCTGAATCACCAGAAGAGGCTTGAGACTGAGCCATGTCGTTCAGAGTACACTTACGTTCGAGAATTGCTAAAGCGTGCGCTTTGTTGACATGAGCCACGAGCGGCCCGTCGAACACATGTCCCGCAAATGCCTGTACACGTTTGAAGCCATGCAGACCGCGCGCATGCGTTTTTTCCTTTTTCAGAAATTACTGTTTTTTGCGAAACAGCATGAACTAGTGTTTCAAAGCACTTTTTGTGGTTTGACCGTCTTTGGGCGGCACCGAGGCAACCTCGCGCAGAATTGTTAACCATACTTAACCATCGTGGTTCGAGCCCTCCATCCCTATCGTGAACGGCGCCTTCAAAAGCGCGGGGGCTGGGGCCACAAAGGCTTAACAGGTCTGGAGTTGGTTCCACGACAGCAGGCCCCCTGGCTCCACACGGCAAGTGTTGTTTTGGCGCAGCGTTCACCAGCAGGGCTTGCTTTCTGGCGTGCAGCATGTTGTAGCACGACAGAGCAACTCCGCCACGGGAGGCTCATCATCTTGATGGGCATGGGCACACCCATAGGATGCTGCAGTAATTGCACCCTGCCTGGACGAACAACCTGTAGAGAGGCCGCGTAGGAGCAAATCAGCGCAAGCAGCTCTCACTGAAACCAGCTCTGCGTAGGCAATCAGCACTGCAGCGCAAGCAAGTCATCCTAAAAGGCACGGCTTTACCAAGCAACGCAGCACCCCCAAAGGGGGCATAACAACTCACTTGGAGAAGCGCGGCCCCAGCATCGCAACGCCACACCTGCCCTGTAAAGCACAGCAACTCCGCGTCAACCGCGCAGCAGCGCAACGCAAGCACTGCTGCGCAAGCGATGTGAGACCAGCAGCTCTGCGAGAGCAACGCAAACCACGCCAAGGCAAATTTCTCCCCAACACGCTTCCTGCAGTCAAGTAAACAAGATACGAAAGGTAGCAGAGACAGAAAGCTTGTCACCAAGCGGCGACAGCTGGCAGAGTGCGGGCACCTCTCTGAGGCATCCATCTAGCCAAGGACACGCCCCAAACCGTTTTCAGCCAGAGCACACGCACACCCACGCGCGGACACACAAAAAGGAAACCCATATACACACACACACACACAAACGCTCGCACGCAAGCGCACGCAAGCGCGGAAGCAAGCGCGCGCACGAACGCACGCACCACGCTCACGCACACGCATGCTCGCACACGAGCGCAAACGTCGCGCGAACACAGACGCGTGTGCGCAGGCGCACAGCGTGTGTGTGTGTGCGCGCACGCGCGCGTGCACTGACGGACGCGCGCACGCAAGCACTTCACGATCCTGCATGGGTTTCGTCCGTGTGTCTGTGGCGTGGCGGAGTCTTGGAATATGAGACTATCTTAAAACTTACACACCTTTCTGAGAAAGCCTTCAGGGAAAAAAAGACTGCGCAGAGGACTCGGGAGTTAAACGCGGCATAAAAAAAAGTTAAGTTTGTCAAAAAAGAGTTAAGCCAGCCACTCAAGTGTTAAAATTGCCATTGACAAGTTAAAAGTGCAACAACAAGAGTTAAACTTGCCTTTCAGTACTTAAAGTGGCAATGAACCAGTTAAAATGGGAATGAAAAGCATAATGGCAGTCACTCAATCGTTACACGGGACATGTAAGGAGTTAAACGAATCATCAAACGGTTGGCAGCGTGATGCAAACACATCGCAACAACACTCAGGTGTTGAGTCCTGGCATGCCCCCTCAACGCCCTCAAACAAATCTTAGCGAAGCCGCTGATGTTATGCTCCCTACCCTAGGCTGAAAGAAAACTAGCTCCGGTTCAAACAAGCCAAAATCCAACATACAAAAGCAAGCCGAGGGCCATGCCCAGAATTGGACGCCTTCCTATGCGTAACTCACGAACAACACCGCTTAACTCTGGAGATAACACGCACCTCAAAACTCACGATATGTGGCAAACCTCACTCAGACCCCAGTTGGACGCTCCAATTTATGGCTCTGAACCAGTACTTGAAAGATGGGGATGAGCCTAGGTACATCACCAGGGGCAACATCATCAGGGATGGCGACTGGAAGACCGGCCGTCCTTCCGAGCCGGCGTTCATGGACATGACGCTTGGGAGCGTTTTTTTTTGTGTGTCGGGGGGGGGGGGGGGGAGAAGGACGAATTTCTGATGTCCTCTTAGACAAACCTGTATTTTTGTTAGTCCCGTATGCAACATGAAACGCTAGAGGCCCAACTGCCTACAAAAGAGTACCCCTGGCATCCTGGCAACTATCGATTGTGTGCCCTGTACTCCCCTATGCTTCCCTTCCAGGGTGGTTTTGACGGTAACTTTTGGGCGAATTCAAAGTGAGCTTCTTTTTTGGTGGGTAATGTTCAAAGAAACACATAAGGAGCCCTGTTTGTGTACCCGTACCCATTAAACATTTGCGACTCTGGCATTTCCATCAACAATCTGTAAGTGACAACACTCTTCAACTGGTATTTTAGCAGCAAGCTATAGTTTTCCACAGGACAGCCAACAATAAAACATGCATATTAAATATGATTCTTTGCCGACAAGATTCTGGACGCAACGGCGGAGCGAGAGAGAGAGAGAGAGAGAGAAACAAAAAAAACAGAAGAGTGAGAGACAGCCAAGATTTGTAAAGGCGAAGAAACCTGGGTTTGGAAACCCTGATGGGCCCCCCTTTTGGATAGTGTTTGAAGGCACGCCACCGGACAAACGTTTTGGGGCCTCATACTTTGGAATCAACCGTATCTAAGCTGCCTCTCTTGGAGTCTTGGGATTGTTTTGATGCCCCATTCCCCTCTGGACAGTTCTGAAAAGTGCTAAGAATTCAAACCTTGGTGGAATCCACAGCCATGTTCGAAAATGGACCCCTCCCCCCCATTTTGTTTTGCCCCAAATGTGCGATGGTCAACCTTCTCTTGCGTGCCATTGTCATTTGCCCCTAATGAGAACCCTAGAGATGGTCCAATTCATCGCCAAGGGGTCGATGGCGTTCTAAGCCCAGAGGCAAGGGCATGCCTGTGTAGGGCCGCAGTCATTTTTCTAAATCCTTGCAAGTGAAAAATCCAAGCACCACACCGTGGATGATGGGAACTTGCAGGGATTCCCTCGTTCCGCCATTTGTTGGGCATCCGGATTATTTTTGAAGGATCAACACTAGGCACATCTTTCAGAGCGCATTGCTTGGCCCAGGAACCTGTACACGCTTCGCGGCTTGGCAGAACTTCCCTTGGACGTTAAGCGACTCCAACCCAAACCAGGGCTACATACCTGAGCCATCACACCCCTTGAATCCCTTGAACAAACAATAAGTCTAGGGTGTCTACGTGCACTAAAGTAAAGTAGATATCGGAATTCCCGCTAGATGGGCAAGCAAAGGGGATGATTCAACCAAAGTTGGTTGGAGTGGTGCCATCAAGGTTCACCCAACCGCGCCCGTTTTCCAACAGCCATGGAAGCTGGCAGAAAGGTGGAATATAGTGCTCTTGGAAGGCTTGTCCACTTGCTTCGGGGGCATATTTGGTTCCCCTGAATGGAAACCAAGCTTGCTTCCTCAGTCTTTGCACTTTGTGGCCAGACAATTATAGTGGTAAACACAGGGTTCAAGCTGGTTTGTGGGCGCTTCCAATCAGGAAGCGATTTCAGACGCGCGATTTCAGACGCGAAACCCCGCAACTCCCCCACTGTACAAACCTGCCCAAAGCGTTATTAGGTCCTCAGCAGGGCTTGTTTTCGAGGAACAACCCCTGACAGCCTTAGGCAGGCTCGGGCAACCGTATGTCTTGCGAAATGTTTATTTTGCGGTCTCTAATTTGCCTCAGAAGTTTGAGGTATTCACTTCGGGTTGGTGCTGGGAGCCTGTTTACCCTACTCACTGCCGCGCTTGAGCTCTTTTCCAACCCAAGCCAAAAGGCAAAAAACACGACAAACAAGGACTATCCCCTCGGATCCTCGGAACCCAAAAGCGCCCCTTGGCTTTGTGTTACAATATGGACTTGGACTGCCGCATCGATCTTTGGTTGTTCTGTTGGTTTACCTGTTCTCCTCAAGGTGAAAGGGGCGCTTTCTTATGAACCAAGTTGAAAGTGAAAGCGGTCCAAGCCCCAACGAAAACACAAGCACGCCTTTTTGGGGCCGAGTTTAATCATTGAGTGAGGCGATGCAAGCGCCGCGCCGCGCGCAGTGATGTGGCAGTTGGATGTGGAGGACCCCCCTGGCCACTGGAGGTCTGCGGTATGAACCACCCCATCAACGCAACATCTTCCTAACTTGGTCTAGTAAGGTATCAGTGGCCTTGCTTCAACCATACAAGACAAAAGAAACTGTTAGCCTTGTGTCAATGTGGTCTTATCCAGAACTGGGTGCGAGGGCAGCATCTGCATCACGGCTCCCTATACTTCCCTCTTTGGGGAAACTCGAAGCAATTCTTTTTCGGTTGAGTGATGTTTCAAGAGCATACAGGAGTGGATGGATTCACCGCGTGCTTTGGGGGCATGTTGCTTTCCGGCGTGTTGTCCCTGGTTTCCTCAACACGAGTCCCTAAGGCGTGAATTTGGGTCATAGTTCTAAAGCACCAGGGATCTTGGGATCTTGGATGAGTCATCTGCAAGGGTGAAGGCCAGATGTCCAGAGACAACTTGGCGCACCCCTTTTCTGAGGCCCGTGAAAAGGCAACCAAGAAGGCGAAGCTTCCTGTGGTGGGTTTCAAAATGATGGACACCCGGTTGGTGCCTAATTCACCAAGACGCCAAAACACCAAGACGCCAAAAGGAGAGCCACCCTTTTCTTGGGCTCCCCCAACTTGAGAGTTGCACCCTGATTCCGTTGCACGAGTGTGCAGGACGGCCTAAATCCCCTGAGCCTCCTGATGGCTTACGAGGAGGACAAGGCGCGAGAGAGAATGTCTGCCCTACTTGGCGCCAATGGCTGTGGAGCCCGTTTAGAACCTGGAGGTGCAAAGATACCCGTATCCCCCAATGCAAGGTTGAGGCTGCATTTTTGCTCCAAAGGCCCATGTCCAAATTTGGGATAGGTTAGCTGCAACTGTTCCCCATTTTTTGCCACGAGCTGTAACAAATGTTGGGCGTGTAACCACCCGATTCAACCGGCTGCAGAATTTAAAGGGAAGCAGGGTGGCACCAACACATGTGGTCCCCTTCTCTGGTTTCGGAATTGCTTGCAAACAGGAATTTGGGTTTGCCACAAGGTTAAGGAACCCAACAAATTGTAGGTTTCCTCCTGATGGCGCTAGGGCCGCCCCCCCCAAAACAGACCCTTTGTTCCGCTATTGAACGGGGGATCCTGAAAACGGATTCCTGACCTTGTCAACCCACTAGATGAACCTTCAGATCACGGCTTGAGACATATCTAAAGGCATTCTCAGTTGCCCAAAGCCGACCTCTTAACCTTGTTTTCCCGTTTTCAGTCCATTTTAAGTCAGGTCCAAAACCCGAAAACTTAAATTTCCACGTCGTTTTGTACGTATACCTTGCGTATACCCATCGCATATAGGTTTGTCTCAGGGGGCCATCCATCAGACAAATGTGTTTTCTTCGTGGCTTCCCTGTAAAACCGACCAAGAGGGTACCCTCGGAAACGACCCACCCATTTTATATGGTCATGGGGGCAGGGATTTTCCCGCTAGGATCCCAATGGACGAAATAGGATTTCTTTTGGGTGCCTTTTTGTTGAGTCCCTTCTTTTGAAATCTCACAACCATGGGACCAAACAGGAATGGACATGTTTGGTCGCGCGCCTAACTTGGCACCTGGTTCCCTTCTGCGGATCCTCAATGATGATCCAACACTTTCCTCATTAGAAGGTTGATGACCTACCAACCCCAAGGGCATTGAACCATGACAACGGTGCAATTTATGTCAGGGCACCTCCCAAAATGGTTAGTTTTTCTTTGGTTCCCTTCATATCCGAAAATGGCCTTCCTGTGTTCGGTTGTCTTTATGTACGCGGACATTTGCGGGGCAATGCTGAGGTGGACCGTCCAAGAACCGGGTTTGGCCACCCACCCGTTGTTCGAACCACTGTTGAAACAACTTGCGTTTGGTTTCCCCACAGCGTTTCTCAGCGTTCCAGGGCCTGGCTGTTCAAACAAACTTTGCAACCAACCCTAAAAACCCCTGTTGTCTTGGCGGTTCCCAGCCATAGCTTGAGACTTGTTGCTTAAATTAGAGTGGTTTATGCAACATATCCCACTAAAAATGGACAACTTTTGGCTAGGGCGCAACGAATCACACTGTTTTAAGGGTGCTCCTTTAAACCAATTCCAAAAGGTTGGCATCCCCGAACAAATCCATACCTCCACAGGCGTGTTTGTCCTAAGAACCGCCCATTGGCGGCTTTGTTCTGTCATCCACGATCCCATTCCCGGTAGGTGAAGCCAGTCGTCTCGGACTTCGACGCCTTTATGCTGGGCTGCTCGGGGGCCATGTCGTTCGAAAAGCTGCCGGAGGAGCAGGTCAAAGTGATGCAGGGGGCCCAGAAATCGCCGATTTCAGAGGCCAAGCTGCGCCTTCTTGAGGTGAGTTGGTTGCTCAACTGGTCGTACACACGAAGCTTGTAAACAGTATGGTCGGCGTTTCTTGGGAATTCATCTCCATTCCTTTGTTCCCAAGTGGCAAGGCACCATTTGTAAGGTCCCCTAGTTTTTTTAACCCAAGGCCAACAGCCAGGCAGTTTCTGCCCTCAAGGGAAAACGGTACCTCGCTGTTCTTGATAGTTGGTTTTTATTCATATGGTCTTGTTGGTTCTGGCCACGTTCAGTGGTGAAGGCTGCCAAAAGGGTGCTGCAAGATTCGGTTTGGGGTTGAGCAAAAGAACGGTGCGGTCGCTGCAGTTTTGGAAGTTGCCCCTCAGCAAGCTTTGCGTGCTAGAATCCCTTCGAACCCCTTCCACTGCAGTAGGCACCTTTCCAGAGGCCCGAAGCCGGGGTCTCTGTTCATTTTGCTTGCCCAGGAAGTGGACGCTTCAGCGCATCGAGGAAGTCTTGTCCACGCCCAGCAAGTCCGGGTGGATGTCCAGGTGGCTGGAGACATGGCCCAAACTCGAGGCTCTTGAAGACACAACTGTACAACTTGGTTGTCAGGTCATGTCAGATTTCCCCAACCCCAGAAAAAAGGATCTAAGAGTCTTGTCTTGGTGGCGCCCTTAGGTTTCCTCCCCAAGGCTAAGAATACACCTCTTGGTATTGACCGCGTAGGGGCGTATGATATAAGGGTGTAGAGGTTGGGTTGTCCCTTGACTAAAGAAAACCACGTGGATTGTCAGGTGGCTCTAAGACCGGGGACAACGCAAAGGGCCCATTTGGATGCGTCTTTGCAAGGGTAGTCTGAAAGGGCAATTGTATTGTTTTCTGTTCTTTTTTGTGGGAGGGGTGGGGCACTTTTTCGAGACATGCTTAACACAGACCATTCACTGGGTTCATTCTGGAACCCTGTTGGGGGGCGCTTGCCCCCAATCACTTGGTCACTTGGAACATGATGGGCCCCATGGATGGGCAAGCCGTGAGGAACCCCCCCCCACCCCCACAACCACCCCCTCCCCTGCCCCCGAAACCGACCCGGGAGTTGCAACAGCCATTCTAAGGTGCCCCCCCCCCCCTACGGAGAGCCTGATAGCTGCTGGAAGTGCATGTCTAGCCATTTGCATATGCAAAATTCATGATCACAGCAGCGTTTCCAGCAGCCGTGGAAGTAGACATATTTGTGGTAGACTTGGGGTCTGCTCTTGGAAAGGCCCTGGACCTTTGTCCATTCCTTTCTTGGAAACAAGAACTGGCATCATGTTGAACTCATTCTACATGTCCAGACCAAAAAGTTAAACCATTATCTTGAGTCGGCGGGAAAACAAATGGAACACATCGGATATGAGCAAGCATCTGGATGTCCTTTTGGACACGATGCCGAGGAGATTCTGAAGCGGGAGTCGGACAAGGGCTTCCACCCAGAGATCCCCAGGCAAGTACCGCTGGATTCCAAAAGGAACGTTGACACAATAATAGCCACATGGTTGGCCAGGGGTTGACCCAGTTTAGTGCAAATCGTTCACGCTTGCAAGACAAGTTGTCGAGCAATCTGTTTGTTTAAGCGGGGGCCAAGGTGAAGACAGTTTGAGAGGGTGGTGTGGGAAGCCTTTTGTAAAAACAAAAAAGTCACCTGTCGGAATGTTGAAACAGATCCGGTAAACAAAGCTTGTTCATGTGTGTTTATGGAACAAGGTGTGGAGAAACATGTTGTAGTCTTTAGGTCACCTCCGGCAACCCTTAGTTGGTCGTTTGGATTTAGATTCAATCACCCATGTTTTTTTGCAGTTAGTAAATGGGAAGCCACCCACTAACCTGCCAACCACCAATCTAAACCACCAGGTAGAGGGGAACCAACAAACATGGATTCTTTCAGAAATGTGCACTTCCATGTTGCGAGGGAAGATAGGAGAAGTTGTTTTGTCAATGTGATACATCACATTTGACCTTCTGGATATCCAAGTCCATTTTTTGGTATGGTTCCATTTGGCATCAACCAGCAGGCAAGGGTGGGCGTTCTTTCTCATTGTCACCATGCGTTTTTTCAAGCCCGCCCTCTTGCCTTCTTGACGCGGCCCAAAAGATGGTTCTGGGGTCCACCCAGCCTGGGCCCGCACTCGCTGTTTTTTTCTCCAAAGGGCCATGTTGCGAGAGGAAAATCGTAGGAAGCTAACAGACTGGGGGGTGGAGCAAGCAGGGCGACCCCTGGGTTGCCCTCACGAAAGGGAGGCCTTTGCGAGCTCACTCTGCCCCGGCACGCCAGTGGTGTTGACACTATTACGCTGCTAGGCAAGGTGGCCACGCCGGCCTTACTTGCTTAGAACCTGCTGTTTAGATTTTGGCGCCCCACTTGTGGTCTAATGCCAGTCAAGGTCAACAAATGGCCCGGTGGGCAAGTGAGCAGCCCCGTAGTGAGCATCAGAAACGGTTTGGGGTTGCAAAAGTGGCCGTCATGATGATCCCATGCTGAGCTGGCTGAAAAGCAACACACAGTTCCATTCGAAGGGTTCGGATTTGCCTCGTTTGGCTTGAGAGGTTAGGATGGGAGCATGCCCTCCCCGGCTTTTCTTTGGACGTGTCACCAGATGGGGCATCTTTTTATTGGGTGCAACCCCAAGGGTTCTTACGCCATCCGAGACGACTTCACAAATTGGCACGCGCCCAGCGCCCGCGCCCAGCGCCCGCAGGTTCGGCTTTGGGGACCCGACCTCCTATCGCATCGTGGAGCAGCTGGTGACTGCGCCGCTTGAAGGCATTGCCAGAAAGGCCTTGTGACTTTTTTTCACTCGTGTTTCTCGAACCGTTTCCTTTAATTAGCAGCAACAAGTTCCGACTTTTGCAGGGTGACGGATCAGCTCCCCGGTCAGCCGCAGCAGCACAAGCCCTAAAACCCTAAACCCTAAACCCAGCCAGCCTAACAGCGCCAGCCCAACAGCCCAACCCAACAGCCCAACCCAACAGCCCAACAGCTTAAAAACCCTGCCCAGCCATTAGCCTAACAGCCCACCAGCCCAACAACAGCCCCAGCCCAACAGCCAAAAGCAACAACAGCCCAACAACTCAGTAGCCCAGCAACCTCCGTTGTTTGCTTTGGTGAGCATGGCCTGTGGCTGGGTGGCACTCTTCTTCCCAGGGGGTGCACTAAGAAAACAAGTGAGTGAACACCCAAGCCTCCTGGCTTCAGCGGAAGTCATTAAAAACAAGAAACTGTGTGTTTAGGTTCAGGACCCTCTAAACTGGAATCACCTCCAGCAAGAAATGGTTTCAACCATCTTTCATCCAGGGTCACTCGGCAAGCGGGAATGCTTGATTTCAGTTTTGGTGCCCATGTGTTTTACCTCCCCCTTTTCCTTGACGCCAGGCCCAGCCAGGCTTTGTGCAAAGGAAGCCGAAAGGACGCCAAAAGGAAAGCAAAGAGAAGCCAAAGGGAACCCCAAAACCAAGGGGCAACCAAAAGGAAGCCAAGTTCGGGTTTAAGGCCTGCTTCTGCGATACCAAGGGCATCCCATAAGTGACAAAGTAGTCATGGGAATCAACCACTTAGTAACCACAACCTCTGAGCTCGCCTGGGTAAAAGGAGCTCCCCCATCAAGGCCCCTTGCCAGGATCAGGGCCTTCTTGTTGCTCCTTTCCTTTTGTTTCCCTTGAACATACATCAGGTATGCCCATCCCCCTGTGCTTCAAAGAAGAGCCAGGATTTGAGTTCGCCAAAAGCTACCCTCAGGTTGGTACGGGAAGCCAAAAGGCAAAAACCGATGCCATTCTGAGAATTCTTGGGGTCCAAATCCCAAATATGACACATACCCCAACATGACGAGGTCCCATTTGGGCCCCATTTGTTGCCATCCATCTTGAGGTCCCATTTGGGTCCATACCCCATGACGATGGGACCCCAAATGGCTTTCCGCACCAGGATGGGGCTCCTGGGCGCTGTGCGCCACGGCGCCGAGTGTCCTTCGGCCGCAGCGCCGATTCGGCCAAATGGGCGCTGTAGGGTCCCAGAAAGATGCGCCGATTTGCTGAAAGCGATGCTTTGCCCAAGCAAGTTGCCATGAAACCAGGGGCTTCTTAGAGGGAAGGGGGTTCCCATGGGTCCGCCCCGTCAAGTTCCAGGCTGGTGGCAGGGCGTTCCGTTGATGTTGGGTGGCTGCTAAGGACAATGTGTGACATGCTTGGTTGCGCAGTGAAGCGCCATCTGATTGAAAGGGAGACTGAAAGGGAGATGATCATGACTGGAAAAGTTTGGGCAACAGGAAGGGACACTCCAAGAGGACACCCAACAGGGTTTTGTTGGTGCTTGTGGGTCCCTTGCTTTTTGTCGAGAACAATTCACCATTTTGCGCTTGGGTTGGCCAATTTTCATGTCACTGCCCGGAAGGGGGCTTTCGGGCGAGGGCATAGTCCTCCGCCCCCCTGCCGAGTGCCCAAAGCAACTCGACCGAAGTGATCTCGTAGCTTCGGTCGGCCACTTTGGCCCCAGACTGTCCCAGAGCAGCCTATGGCTATGGGAATTGGCCCTGGAATAAGGAAGAAGGGATGGGGGTTCTTTTGGTTGGAAAACACATTTTGCAGGCCAGAGCCCTGGATTTCAGGCTTCAACTACTACTTCCCACAAGACCTGGACGATGAGTTCCTGGTGGTGTGGAGGGACTTCGAGACGGAGCAGCCATGGAAGCAGCTCGGCGCCTCTAAGTTCAAATATGGTCCCCACGCACATGGAGGTTCCTCAAAATGGACAAGCTTGGCGCAGAAAAGGAAGCCATTCCTCTGGAAGGGGCTCCTTATTTTGAGAAGCGTTATGGAAAGAAGGATCCGTAGAAAGAATGGGGGAGAGTTGCTCAAGCATATCGCCGATGTTCTGGATGGCCAGCCATTTTAATGGAAATGCCCTCAAGGCCCGTTGGTGAACCTAAATCCAAATGTACATCATGTGTGCCCAAACCTCCCTGATCGAAAATCGGAAGGGTACCGCATTTTTCGGTGGGTTTCTGAAACTACTACTACCCATTTCTAGGCTTTTGAGGCCACCGAATCAGCAAAAAGGCGAGCCACCCAGTTGATGGAAGTTGCACCCCGGGGGTATCACGGCAGATACCTCACGGAGCCGGAGCTGCGGGGGTTCCTGCTGGACCGCATCTCTGATGGCTACAGCTTCCCCTTGCGCCTTGGCTGGTTGTTTTGCTCGATCATCAAGCCCCACACCCCCCGCCCCAGTCATGATGTCGCAATTGCACAAAACAACGCGTATGGGCATGTGGCTTGCCCTTTGTCTTCTTTTGCGGCGACGGGAGCCCCAAAGATCAACAGTCGAGTGGGCACATCAGCAAGTGCAACCGTACCGAGCATAGCCTCATGGCACCCCAAAATTCGCACATGGGGTGCCGCATTTTGAGGCAATCCTTGAATCTTGGGCGGACAACGACGCCCGAATTAATTCATCTGTTTCTGCGGAGGACTTTCAGGAAGGGGTGGTGCCCACGGCCCAAACATGACACAAGCCCACCCTCGGCCTCAAGGTTCTACTCCACCAACAGAACCTGACGGTACCTGACGGTAGAGGGCAGCTTTTCTCAAAGCGTTTTCGGGGGGTGCGGGCTCATGTCAACTTTCGAATCCCTTTGACCCAGCCGGTTTCGCCCGAGGAACCCGAAGTGGGTCATCTGCGACAAAGGCTGGGCGCGTCTCCCGTGATGGGATGGGATGGAAATCCTTCCGCTGGTGCAGGCCAAGGGCAACGAGAGCCATCCACAACAGCTTGGCTGCTTCAGCTTGGGTACCAGGAGGGTGATACACCTCCCAACTGGGGCGTGATGTCAGTGGTAAACCCCCTGATGAAAGTGTTCCCCCCTCTGCCTCCCGGATTCCCACCAACACTGCAGCAAAGCAAGGTTTGCAAGAACAACCAGAAGTTTTGGTATTGCTTATTCCTTTGTGTTTAGTATTTGCTTCGTCTGCGCTTAAACCCACCAATGCTGAGCCACTACTAAACCGACATGAACCACCCTCAAGTTGTCCCAAGCATGTACACCCCGCCCAATGCATTTTTCTTACTAAAGTCTGTTGAACATCACCAGGTGTTCGAACTCACAAAGCTCGCGAATAATCATGGCCCTGTTCGGGTTAATACAAAAGCTGCTGCTGCCAATTTAAAGTCCTATTGCTCAGAAGGGGCCAAGAAGGCAAGGACCACTCCAGGCTTGTGTTTTTTTTGTAGTTCAATTGGCCAGTAAGGGGCCAGAAGTAAAAGGACGAGGGCCGAAAGAGGCTCTAGATCAATCAGGGGGGTCCTCCAAACATTCGAAGTTTTGGGTGCTTGTCCAAGCCTTGGGCTTATCACCCTTTTTGTGGCCTAACAGAGGCGGCCAATCATGGGAGACCTATGGCCCTCGCACGGTTCCCCTGCCGTGGGCTATGTCGTGGGAGTCGTCCAGGGTCCACCTTCCCAAAAAGATAGTCTTCCTCCTTTGCGGGACGGGGGCCCCATAATTTCATTTATGGCTGCATTTGCCCCTACCCCGAGCCTCGCAAAGATGGTCAAGGCAGAACGGTAGACAATTGGTTGGCTTCCTTTGGTTTCCGTTTTCCAGGGCGCAGGGCCAATTTTCCTTCCGACCGATCGGGGTCGGATGGGAAAAAGCAACCCTGGGGAAGAGATACAACCCAGGATGAACAACCCCTGGGTGATAGTGGGGCAACACTCTGCCTGCGGCCAAGGTCAATTGTGCGGGGTCGGAGAACAATTGAGGGTGCAAGAAGGCCCTCCCTTGAATGATTTGGCTGGTGTCACTCTGCCGGCCAGGAAGTGGCACTGCCCTGAACACGCAGAGTGGAGAGTTTCGGCAATCTCGTAGACAACGTGAATCCCCGCCGAATCCTGATGTCCCACCAAGGGGCCCAACCACCTCCTGCAACATGTGTAACGTGCACACTCCCTAAAGCCAACTTCCTACAACCGAGTTGTGTCAAACTAGACTGGGCCCCAAAATGGCAGCTTTCCTTTGTGCCTTCAACCCTTTTACACCATAGTGGGTCCAAATCCCAATGATTGACACATACTGTGTACCCATTGGGTTACTGCACCCGAGCAGGGAAAGCCAGAGGGAGCCTTCACCCACCATTACCAAGCATGGCCTTCAGAGAATGCAATACAACACAAAAAGCAAAAACAATGCCCCAAATGAGCCTCTTGTTTTTAAGAGTTGGTTTGGGAAGCCAAACGGATTGAAACCCACAGCTGCTCCGTGCGCGGGAGGCTGGCGGGAGGTCTTCCTAAAGCTCCGGGCGGCCCCGCAATTCAAGAAGCACCTGGACGCCTGGTTCCCGCGCCTCGGTGGATGGACGGTTTTTGGGCTTCCCAAAAGGAACTACTTATTTTTCCGGGGTCCCCAATTTTGACAATTTGGACAACCCCTGTCGAATTGGGGAAGAGTTGGGCTCAGCAATGTGCCTCGATGCACGCGTAAACGCTGGGCTCGCTTGGCCTGGGCTCCAATGCTGAAACCGATCGCAAACCTCCCCTTGGCCTCTCCCGAATGAACATGGGTCCCCAAAAGGAAGATTTTGAGGGGTTCTCAGAATCAGCTTTGGGAAGGATCATTATGAGGATGGACCCAGCAATGCGGAAACTGGGTCAACGTTTTGGTAGTGTCTGGAAGATCTTTGCCGATGGGTCGCTTTGTGGGCCAAGCTAAGGTTGATGTTTGAAGGGAAGTCGGGAAGCACAGGGAGCCCTGCTGGTGCTGAACAACCCACGCGTTTAGCACGGATGTGGCTGGTTATGCTGATGCGTGTCATTTGGCATGGAAAAGCAAGGCCCGAACCCCAAAGTCAACAGATCCCCTTTGCTGGAGACTCAGCAAGGCTTGTGGGGGGTGGTTGGCCCTGGATTAGTCAAGGATTCCATCAACACATACTCCCGAATACTTCCCTTGAATCATCCAAGGGGTTAGCAAACCTTGGTCAAAGTTACTTTGGGCAAAGCACGGGTGTGTTTGGTTCCTTTTTCATGGAAGTCAGCCTTCAAGTGCCGGCTATGTCGACCCTCGCCCCGGTACCATGGAAAATTATGGGGGCCTGGCGCATGTGTCAACTCAATGAGCGTGTCACAGACTTCCAGGCGCAGAAGCCGTCATGGGAGAAACCCGCAAATGAGCCGAAGGCCAATTGATATCTTCAAGGTCTCTGACGTGTTCCAGACCAACCCTTTGATAGTTACAGCTTTCATGTGGTGTTGTCTTTTTGTTGTTCGTGTGTGCGTGTGTGTGCGTGTGTGTGCGTGTGTGTTTTGAGGACGCCCTTTTCAGGATGGTTCAACGAGAAACCCGAAGGATGAAGCCGTTCTTTCAGGGTGTCCCTATGTCAATTGTTCAACGCGTGGGTTTGAACCAACAAGGCGTTCTTCCTGTGAGGGGTCTTCCCGTGAAGTCGTATGAACTCTCGCTGCAAGGCACTCATCTGGGCTGCATCCTGGCATGCAATTGTGTTGAACCTCGGTAATTTTGCTGGGGTATGCATTTGGGCGCCGTCTTTGCGGAGCATGTGACCATTCCTCTCCTGCGCAGCCTCGTCGTGCCCACTTTTTGATTTGTGGGAGGCCAATGCGACAGGACGTCTATCTGATGGGCACCTCTTCAAGCGTTGTTAGTGGACATAAGGCCACATGTCACTTACTTTCACCGAAGGGTGCCTTCCAGAACGCCGCTATTAAGCTACATCCAATACTGTTTCAGAGCCATAAGGGCCATAAGGGGAGAGATGGTATGTAAGGTTGTGGGCCTTCCCGGTCCTTGGTCTCTAATCGTGCGGATGAAGGTCATCCTATGTTTTTCTATTGCACTGCGTGAGAACAGAGCGCACTCCACGCGCAAGGTGCATGAGGCGCCTGCGGGAAGCTTGTGGACTAAGCGAGCCAGTTTTTACTTTGTGTGTTGGAATCATTGTAGAATTTGCAGTTACCATGTAGTTGTGACACTTTGTAAATCTTTGTGAGGCTTAGGTTATATTGGTGTGTCTCTCGAATTGGAAACCCAAGGTGGGTGTTTTTCTTTTGGCACCTTGCAAGGCAACCCCCAGATCCCAACGCCCTGATTTGGTCGCTAGGTCTCATTTGGGTATTGCCCCCCCGTCAGAGAGACGGGCGACCAAAGTGCCAGCCGAGGATGCACCACATCGACGAGCTGTGCAGGAGGCCAATATTCACAACGCGCACAGGGCATCTCTTTCAACATTGAAGTTGTTCAGTTATCCCCACGCTTGCTCGACCCGCCTTTAAAAGCAACATCGGGTCACATGCAGGGCGTAAAGATATGTAAAGATGAAGTTTGGGATGAGGCGTGTCCTCTCTTCTTTGTAGAGGAAATATCTTTGAAACCCTGAGGTGCCGGGCAGGGACTTGCCAAGCGAGCCTCTCGGTACGTTTTAGGGTTCCCGTATTTTAGCACGTACCCATCCGGATAGCTTGAAAGTTGAGGCAGGGTATCTGACAATTCCTCAAGTGAGACTCGTGCCAGTCAAGGGTGAAGATGTACGACGTCGCAGCACTGCCTGTTTTGGACAGATCAGGTTAATTAAAGCACAAGGTTTCAATTTAGCCGACCACTGCACACAGGAAGCAACATGCCTTTTCTAAGGCAGGATGATCCCCTAACACCTGAAGTTAGTATGTAAGCGTTAGTGGGCGGGACAGACCCTTGATTCCAGCTGCGTTGAATCAGAATGCTGGCGCACCGAGTTGAAGAGAACCCTGGGAGGCAGGTGGTCGTTTTACTTTGAAACACTAGCTAAGCAGAGTGAACCGGAGGCAGGGCTGAAGCCTTCATTTTTGTGGGGGGAAACAAACAAAATCCAACTGGCTCATCAATCCGGGTCCACATGTCTCCCTAAGCTATGGATTTGAGCGCAAACCGTCAAATGGAATTCCAATGTGCCCCCGGGCACAGGCACAGACATCCCTTTACACTCCCTGATTTGATTTACTCCTACAAGATGGTTTGCCTTCGTTCTCCCTTGATCACAAGGCCAACCAAAAACACCTATCATGAGATGCTTCAAGGTCTTATTGACGATGCCAAACTGGGTCTCCAAGATGAAGAGGAAAGCTATCTTCCATGGACCTCCAGTCAGGTTCCATTTGAGTTGGTGGGAAGGAGGGTAAGCATGTCGATCTTATTCGTGCTGAAGAAGCTTTGACCCGTTCAGTCTGGTGCCAAATAGCGCATATTGATGTTTAATTTGCCCAAAGGGAACCCACAAAGAAGTAGACCTAGGGGAGCCAAAAGCGAAGCCTGTATCTTAACTGTTTTGGGGAAGCCAAAATTTGGTTCGAGAACGCCGATGGGCACGTAAACTTAAACCGCAAGGGGCCCAGTACCTCAGAGTTTCCAATAGTGCCACTTGAGAGTGGTATTCACCATCATCAAAGCAGCACACGCAAGCAAGAGAGTGCGAAACCTGCCAGGTCCCTTGGTGGTTCAAAAGCTTTTTAACGCACCGTTCTTTTCAAAAACGTCCCTTTTTTGGCTTCCCTTTGCCACCAACCGCTGCAAAGGGAACCATGACCATGGCCCACATTCCTTCCACTTGCTTGAACGTGTGTTATTTTCCCCTGTTGGTCTTCAAGGGAATCGCAAAAAAGAGCAGGGTCACTTTCGTGAGCCTAGAGTGCCAGGTTCCCCAACGGCTTTGAGACGCCAGAGGGCGCAGAACAGCTGGATTTCGACCTTGCAGCGACTCGGTCGGTCTGAAAGTCTGAAACGGTTCCGTCCATTGGGCACCGATTAAAATAATATTGTGGTTGGTTGGGGGTCCGTTTTGGAGGACATCCGGGGCACTGGACTGGGGGAACTAGCCCATGAGTTCATTTATCCGCAGTCGACATTGCAAGGCTCAAGACGTTTTTATTACCAAGAGATAAGTACTCTTCCACTGGCTCCTGGTTACCCAGAGGATCCATTTTAGCTTAGGGAATCAGGTGCCCAATCTGCTTTTCATAGAAACGCAAGTGCACATTACATAGATAGGATGGTCCTCCCCAGTTTATGGGCAATTTATCAACGAGGGTCCGTTCTTACCAGGCAATGTGTGTTTCAACTAATCACCCAGGGAAACACAAAGTAAATTGGGCCGCTATAGTCTTTCCGGGGCAGTCCCTTGGCCAGGACCAGCAGACCCCGTCCCACCCTTTCCTCTCCCCCCCCACCTCTGCAAAAACAAAAAGAACCCAAAACGGGGGTTCCCCCCAAATGGAGATTCCCCCGACAAGGATGTGTTCTTTTTGGTTCTTTCAAAGCCACACGGGGAACACACCCTAGCCTCCAAGCCATCAATCTGAACCACCAGTAAGGGGTGAGGTGAGTCCGTTAATATGTCCCCTTCAATATCCAAAAAACAAAACTCGCTTTGAATTGGCCCAAAGGGTGAGGTTCGAAATCACAAAAAGGAAATCAAGGGAACAAGATGAGAACAAAAGCGCCACCTTGCGTTGGCGTATCTGTAAGTGACAGCGCGACTGACTTCATCCCAAGCAAGGTGACAGTTTGGAGGCATGTTTTGGCTCCCTGTGCGAGGATGTTGCGTGGTGGACTTCAAAGGGAAGCCCATCCCAAACACAATGCTCAACAAAGGGTGTCAACTAGGTTTGGAGGGTATGATTCAGTATGATGGCTCGGGCTTGGATTTTGCAGGAGCGCGCAAGCGCCGAATGGGGTGTGGGGTCCTCTAAACCCAATTCAATTTACCATTTGAGAATGACCCCAAACGTGGGGTACACAGCTACCGCCCAATTTGTACTTTGGATTGGTTTGTGGATTTGAACCGCTCTTGTTGGTAAGGTACCAGTTTTTGTTGGGAAGCTACCGTCTTTCACACCTGTAAGCCAATCCAAACCGAGGAAGCTGGGCGTGTCGGTTTCGCTTGAACACCACCAAAAAGGGGGTACCCTCCCACCAATCAACACGGAACCTGACATGGGGTGCCTTTAAGAACATGGTCTTCGACAGGTTCCGTTTGAAGTGGGAGGCTACCCTCAAAGGCAGACCCGGCTGAACCACCGAGGAATTGCAGCTGAGACGTTACGAGGCGCTGCAGCGGGCCACACGGCTCAGATTGGAGGGTGAAACCGGCCTAAAATATTCTCAGTTGTTCAGTGGCACCCTTTGTCTTTTTACTTTATTTTTTTTTGGGGGTGGCTGCCCCACTAAAATGGTCTTCCCCAAAAAGGGTTCCCTTTTTTTTTGCCAGGGTCGCTGAACAACTGAGTATTTGGTGGGAGTCCCAGCGCAAGCCTCGTGTTTCTTCGCTCATGTTTGGCGGCCTCAAGTGTCCTCAAGCCCCGGGTGGAAGGGCGGGGGGGGGGGGGGAATGGATCTATAATCTATGGCTACTGTGAAAGACGAAATCCTGCACCACCTAAGAAACCCTGGAATGATTCGATTCCCCTGTAAATACCAACAAGCAATGGCTTCCCATGCTTTCATTTTGTGGTGCGAAGGGATTTCGTCCATGCACTGGGCTATGGGATTGAAGGTCCTGGGTAGCCCAGTTGATTGATGAACGCCTGGTTGATGAAGCTCCCCTGCACTACTCTAGATGGACAAAGCTTTGGACGAGGTAAGATCCATTTCTTCTATCCCAACTGCGGATTTTGTCCATCTATAATTAGTCAGGAGACCAGGAGCGGGTTCCAGAGGACAGTCATGTGTGTAGCTTCCTGCCTGAGGGGTGCATTGCAAAACCTGAAGTAGTTGGACCCCCAATTCAAGGATCCAACCCCGCATCGGCGAGCTGATCAGAATATTGGCAGATGGAATGGGTCCGAATCACTCTCACCCCTCTCCCGCAATTCCATCTTTGAGGCGGGCTCAGTCACCGCCCAGGAGCTCGGTTTCCCTTACTACGGTAAATTATTGGTGATTTGTGGAGCAAATTGCGTTTGTGGCTTGACTTTCTTCTTAGGGCGGCTAGATACAAGGATCCTCACGGCCTCAACCCCTGAGCACTTTAGTGGCTGGGATGGACCTCCCTCCCTGCGTAGGGATGGCCTGCGGCAAAAGCAATATTGCCCATGTCGAGTTTGGCCACCTCAACCCCACTCCTTCAGCCCAAAGGCCCGTAGACCATCCCTAGCCCAACCCAAAACGGACCGCGCCTAACCCCCGTCCATCGTGCACTGAAGTTTCACCTTGAGTGATAACAAGCGAGCGTACTTTTGCTTTGAAGACTTACCGACGCTAAGTTGGGGGCCTTTCCTTTGCTTCGAGCTCCCGAGGCAAAGCGGAAACTCAAGGTGTGCCTCCGGTGGATGAAGTTGAACAAGGCCGGAAGGGTCCAATGTGAACAGGACCAAGTGCGTCAAAGCTTGAGACTTGATTGTCTTTTTTTGTTGGGGCGCTGTTTCTTTGTTTGCCTTTTTCCTTGCTTGCTTGCTTGCTTGCTTGCTTGCTTGCTTGCTTGCTTGCTTGCTTGCTTGCTTGCTTGCTTGCTTGCTCGATTGCTTGCTCGATTGCTTGCTTGCCTGCCTGCCTGCCTGCTTGCCTGCTTGCCTGCTTGCCTGCTTGCCTGCGTGCCTGCGTGCCTGCGTGCCTGCTTGCCTGCTTGCCTGCTTGCCTGCTTGCCTGCTTGCCTGCTTGCCTGCTTGCCTGCTTGCCTGCTTGCCTGCTTGCCTGCTTGCCTGCTTGCCTGCTTGCCTGCTTGCCTGCTTGCCTGCTTGCTTGCTTGCTTGCTTGCTTGCTTGCTTGCTTGCTTGCTTGCTTGCTTGCTTGCTTGCTTGCTTGCTTGTGTGCTTGTGTGCTTGCTTGCTTACTTGTGTGCTTGCTTGCTTGCTTGCTTGTTTGTTTCTGTCTGTGCTTGTTTCTTTGGTTCCTTGCTGTTTGTTAGTTAGTTAGTTAGTTAGTTTGTTTGTGTTTTTTTTTGCTTTGCTGTTTTTGTTTTAGTTGTTCGTTCTTTTTGCACTTCCTTTTACTTCTTTGGATCTGTTTTCGCGCCGGCCGGCCGTAGGTATCACCCCAACTATTGCTCCCCCAGCGTTGTGCTTTCCTGGCTGGCCCACAGAACCAGCTTGTTAAACTTGTTGCAAGCGCGCAGCTAAAGCAAAAGGGAACACATGAGTTGAATTTCAACTTGCAGGAGGTTTAGCTCAGTTCCTAGACCTAAGCCAACCATTTTGAAGGATTCCAACTGATTACGCATGCCGGCTTGAAGATGTCGAAAGAGGGAGTACCCGCGGCCGTTCGCGTCTCAACCTTTTGGACAAGCAGGATGCTTGGGCTGTCGGGACTGTGGAATGCCAAGCCCCTGTTTCGAACGGGATGGCCGTTGAAACATGATGTGGACAACTGAAACTGGTTTCGCACTTTCCCAGTTTCTGGCTTCCACTCCGGGGAAGTATCTGGCTTTGTGTTTCTCTTGATCACGGTTTCTGAGATGATATGCATTTGGGCCAGTTGCATCAGCTGATGTGGAGAGAATCCGACTCCTTGTGAAGCAGGTTTTTGTTGACGCAGTTCCCGGAGCCCTGTTGATGTCTCCTCCCCAGGGCTCAACGACGCTGGCGAACCCAGAGAGCCAAAGCCAGGAGCAGGCCCTGCACTGGGGCAGGGAGTGTCCGGCGTGGATGGGCCAAATCTAGGCGCTACTCTAGGCGCTATGGTCGGTTGATCCGTAGCCAGCTAGTACGCAATATGGCAGGCGCGTAGCACACATGTACCAGCTGGGATTGGTGGTTAACCCCAGTATTCGTGTTTGCTTTTGACCAGGTGGATGTCTAGTTTTGCTCAGTTTCAGCCCTTGGGTCTAGACGTTTAGACACCCAACCCTTGATTGCATGCGAAAGAGCAGAGAGAGAGAGAGAGAGAGAGAGAGAGAGAGAGAGAGAGAGAGAGGGGGAGCGAGCAAGAGAAAGAGAGAAGCCTTGATTCGTAATTCGTGGATGTATGCTTCTTAGAATTGGCGGCTTCTCGCTCATCAAAAGCTCCAACTTTGACACCAAGCACCCAGAGTGTGTCCACCCGTGCCCACTGGAAAGAGTTTCATTGGAGCCAAGCAGGGCTACCTGGATAGCTGGATGGTCTAGCATAACGGGCAAAACAAATAAACAAGTAATTTACGCCATTGTGGATGGACGAAATCCTGCACCACGTTGAAACCATGGGAAGCCATTGTTTGTTGGTGTTGACAGTGGAATCATCATTCCAGGGTATCTTAGGAGGTGCAGGATTTCGTCCATCCACAGTATGACTATGTATGACTATACAATTGTGATGAAGTAATTACTTGAAAGTCCTACTCCAATTGTTTGCGCGCGGATAGTACGGCCAGCGAGCTGTGCGGAATGCATTGCTCATGCCTTGGATGACCGAGGCACAGGCTGGAGCTTTAACTTGGCCGGCGCTTTATGCGGATGTGCTGCTCAAACAGGCCGCAGGTTGTCACAATGCCAACCATGCAAGTGGCATCACGGACGTTTCGCAGCCCACAGACACGGACTCTGCGGCGAATTGTTCCGGGCAGAGGCACACCAGTGAGTGCTTTTGACCATTTCGAGCACAGCAGCAGGGGATGGATTTTATCTTTCCAGGGCCCTCTTAAGCCGAAAGGAAGCCCAGGGAATATTTCCTGCAGGCTTAAATACCACCTGTTCCAGTTACCCTGATCTTTTAAAGGGCTGGGTTTCAACGCAGTTTTCACGCGGGTGTGTTCTACACCTCGGGTTGGTTTCCCCTCGAAAGATGGAGGCCCATGCGTGGCGTAGTACGCAAGATCAACATTCACAAGAGTGGTATGAACCTTTCAGCTGAGAGCATCCGAATGAAAACATGCACCAGTTGGTTGTATAAAGGTATAGATGTAAAAATGATATGAAATGATATATCGTACTCATCCTCGAATGCAAGGAAGAACAACTGACTACCCCTTACACATTTATTCTCCAGAGACCTCTTCAGCCCCCAGATGGACATGACTTTGTTGCTTGATGAGCCCTGGCTTTGTCACTTCGCAGCTTTGATCACTTGCGCGCGAATGCCGGAATCTGAGCATGCAAGTTGCCCCTTTTGCAAACGGGTCCCATCTTCCATCCTTTCCTCAACATCGCGCCTCATGGAACCCCAAGTGAGCAAGCAAAATCTAGGTTTCCAATGAGCCAGCCACAAAGCAGCAACAACTGCATGCTTCATGTTGGTTAGGGGGAGGGTAAGCCGTGCAGATTGCTTGGTCGGCTCGGTTCGCGAGGATTTGAAGCAGGCCGTGGGCTCAGAGTTGCATCCCCCCAGCCCTGAACATGGAACCACATTTTTTTCGTGTGTGCCGCCAATTGTCCCGATTGATTGTTTGCATTTCTTGGAAAAGGACATTGTGTCCAATATATTTGAACATTTGACTCACAAGTAGATGAACATCATTCAAGTATTTGTTTTACTTATAAGCTATAGCTTCAATAGGAATTTGTGTCCAAATATGTTTGAAGTTTGACTAGGTGTTGAATGGAACAACATACAGAAAGAACATCTTGTTTTCAATTGACCTGCACCTTCCAAAGAGTAAACCACGAAACAACACGAGAACAATGCCATGCTGGTTTATTGCTTTAAGATAATCACAATCTATTGATGTGTTCCTCATTGAAGTATACACATATATGTTCTAATTAGGTTGAGCAATATCACATTTGCAAGTAAGCTCCAAATTTAAGATAGACATGCTAACTGAGATCTTTCCTTTTTGAACTATACGAGTCCTTTGTCTCTGCAGTCGCTTGGCTGCAAAGTGACCTGTTTCTACGTTTGCTTGCAGAGAAAAAACGCGGCACTCAAGCATCATTGATCCCCTTGGTGGCAGCAGATTTCTCTTTTACCACCAGGACAATATGATTATTCTCCGACAACGCTCTTCCCACTTTGCTTTGCGCGCGGTGCGCTTGGCGCAACAAACTGCCAATTCTTACCAGACCCTGGTGACATCAAACGCGCAGAACCCGATGGCAAAAGGAGTTTGTTTCAACCATAGAGGCTTGGATTGGCCCGGCCGGACACCAACGCTGCAATGCTGGAGTTCCAGACCCCGTTTCGCAAGACTATCCCAAACTGGCCGTGTTCCTTGTTGGTCTTCGGGTTGGCCGCCGGTGAAATTTACCGAGGTGGAAGTGGTGCCGGTGGAGGTGAAGCGGGTGACGCCTGAAAAGAAGCGGCTCGGCGAGGGGAAGGTCAGTAAGGTGACTATTTTTAGAACATGGCAGGCTTCACTGTTCTTGGCACGTGTTTTTTTGGGTCCTGTTATTCTTCTTTTGTTGGTGTGTGTGCAAAGAGTAGCAAAGAGTTTTGCTAACTTCCGTGTCCATGCAGTGCGGGCACAAGGCTTGGGGGCACCTCTGCTGGAGGGCCCCCGCATTTTTCCCGACAGTTGTCCCCTACTGTATGAACAGGTTTCCGAGCTCAACCACCCTTGGGTTGAAGCCCTTCGAATTCCAAACGGGATAGGAAGGTTCTACTTGCTTTCGAATCGACCGAATCGGACCTTGACGCGTTTCCCATGGCAACAGTGTTTCCAAAAGGTGAAGCTCACAATGTCAATTTCCGATTTATTCTGAGGACCTCAGTGGAGGAAGCCCAACAATAAGGCATGTGCAATTTCCTTCCCGGATGAAGCTGAAGTGCTTCTCGATTTGTTTGGGCAGGGGTTCCCTTTAGTATTTGGGGGTCTGTTTGGAATTTTGAAATCCGTTTCCAACGGAAGCTGAATCATTCTTCCGATGGCCACTGGAGGTCTGGATATGTCAGGTTCGTTGGGCAAGGGAGTCTGCTTTTTTGGTTTTTATACGTGGCCAGGCTTCCCCAGAAAGGTCAAAACACGCCGGAGGGCCTCAATGATTTGTCAAAACAAAGTTACACATTAAGAATCCCTAACGCAAACGCTTAGACCCCCTAGGTACGACCTACCATATTAAACATCCAATCCGAATTCCGATATATGACTTTTCTTTTCACAAAATATTATCAACACACACTCACCAGACTTATGGTTAAGACCTGTGTCCTCCTATGATTCGCTCCTGAAGTTGAACTGGGTCTGCCTCTTCTTCAAGCTGAGCCGTTTGCTGAAGGCTTTTGCTAGTGACCAATTCTGGCCTCAGTCGTCTATAGCAGGCACCTGCTCACGTAGCCGCAGCGAAATCTCGACTAGCCTCTGAAAGGGCTCTCTTCCAGTTTTAGATTTTGGAGAATCGCAAACGCTTGCTCGCTCTCCGGCAACAAACAGGTGGACAACAGAGGCTTGCCAATTCAGAGACGACATGGGCGCTAATCAGGCACAAGCCCAGTTTCAACAGAGAAACCAGGTGGTCCTAGTCAGCTACGCCTAGACATGATCAATTTTATGTATACCCATCAGGACTTAGGCTTTTTGGAGTACCGCGGGGACACTGTTCCCCAAAGAACGTTGGGTCGGGCCCCTGTAAATCAGAAAGGCTTGGCACCCTTCAAAACTATAGCAAGTACTGACGAATAGTGACCAGAGACGGTACGACCATGGGCCAAAACCCTTCCACAGCTCCCTTGCAATGGCTCTGAGTCAGCATTGGATCAGGGTCCCTATATTTGCCTTTTTTAGCTGGTTGAACCATTGCCCTTTAGCATTTTTGGCCACCCTTTCTCTTGGTGGGGGACGCCTATGGGGGAATATAGCGGACCTGTTGAAAGCCCCGCATCCGAACGAGGCCCCCGAAGGTGGTGGAGGCAGAGGAAAAGAAGAAGCAGTAGCGGTGGCTGCACAGAGCGTTTTCTCGGCGCGCTGGTGGTGCATTTCATTTTGCTTTGGAGGAGCGTTGCCTTTAAAATCGACTGCTAAAAGCCGCTCTCTTGTTCCCATGGGCACTGGGGGTCTGGGAGTTAAATCCCACAAGTTTGTTGCTGTCTGGTTTGGTCAACAAAAGGTCTTTGAGGTGTTTCTTTGAACATCGATGTTGGAAAGGCCGGTTGTCCCTTGGTGGTTGGTCACTTGACAATCGGGTGAAAGTCAGATTTCATGCCCTTTACCCACATAGGATCATGGTGACCGGTGCCATTTACTTCCCGCTGGCTGGCATTAGTTGGACATGTCGGGCGCAGCAGCATCCAGCCTGGGTCCACCTTTGGCAACTCGTTCTATTTGACAAACAGCGGCTAAATGATGACTAACAAAATTAGGACCTCATTAGGATCATAACCTATCTTGATCCAACAACTACAGCCCCAGCTCCATTCGTGTGTCATGCACCAAGCCGGGCATCAGAAACGCCGAAAATGGCGAAACAAGGCCCTCGCTTTGCACCGATTCGTCGGGGTAAACCCTGCCCTGCCTTCAAGGGCCCTTCATCCCATAGTTGGCTTCTTTTCTATGCCGTGCACGGACGTTTCAAGTGGACCTTGACCAGAAAGACACATCCGACACGTGACAAATGCAAGCGTTTTCATATTGGCAGTTTGAAGGCTAGACGGTGGCTTGCCTTTCGGCCTATCCCCAGCCATTCCACCTGATAATGGCAAGCTGATCATGCCCCTTCTTTGGAAGGAACATTGCAATTTCATGCCCGTCCTCCCAGTGCGGAAATGATAGGGCGCCTGTTTCTTTTTCCCTGTTTGTCTCCGCGTAACACTGGCATTTTCCTTGGCTTCCTTGATCACACCCGTAGGCAGAAGCTCGTGCCGAGGTCCTGCCTTTGCTGCTTCGGCGGAAAGGCAAAATGAGTTTTGAAGCTTCGGCGACGCGAGGGTTTGCTCGGCCGCCCAAAATGGCAGCGCCGGCGGTTGAAACAACCGTTTGGATATGTCCTTGGGTGCAGTTGACCCTTTTCAGGGTTGGACAGGAGGGACGCCAAAGACAAACCACTCCGTTTGAGGGTTCACCTAGTCCACCTTCTTTGCAAATTCAAGGGGAATTGTTTGGGAGATGTTATAGGATGATCAAATCGACATTGGGAAGCCTGTGATTTGGGCCGAACCATAGGTGATTTTGGTGGTTTACAGCTGACATTTCTTGGTTCAATTGCCCGTTGTTGGCATCTGCTTGGCTTGGGATGCTTCCTGTGGGCAAGCCTGGTTTGGCGGGACTTGACCATTTGCCGCAAGCCACACATTAAAGCGATCTCCGTCAAAGCCCTTGGAAAGAGACTTCAAGAGCATGAACCACCTCGGTTTTTCCAGGTCCCCTGAGAAACCTAAGGAGGAAACCCTGCGATTCAGGGAGGTGGTTGTATTGGTCTGCTTTTCCTCCAGTTACGCACTTTTGGAGGTGGTCAAGTGTGAGCTGAGACATGGTTGATGTGGCAACTGAGCAGGGCAATCTCGAAGTATTCAAAACCAACTACTGTGGCTTGGAAACAAGGCTGCTCTGGGTCGGGTTCCCTCCATACTCTGTCTGCTTTATGGCGAGCTCACCTGAGAATAGAGCGAGCTCACCATGGTTGGGATCCTCAATTCCGGTTTTGGAATTATATATGGTAAGTGTCGGGGACACAGCACGGCCCTCATTGGGTGAGACTTCTCTGGGTGATAAACAAATGCCACTGTAGCACAATTGTTTGTTTTCTGCAGCCATGCCCGGCCTGGAAGGGCACCTCTCCTCAGTTTCAGGTGGATTCCATCCTTCCCTTTTGGCCAAGTTCTCACCAAAAATCAACCAGGTGCCAACTCTATCAGCAGCAACTAGGGTAAGGGATTCTGCAGCTAGCCTGCCGAACGGTTTGCAGCTCTGTACTTTGCTTAGACTGGGTCCACTAAACGTGGCTTCTTTTTGAGAGGTTGTCCTTTGAAGGAGCTCTCAAATTTACTTTCGAGGTGTGGAATGCCCTTTGGCTCAGATACTGGAGGGTGACTTTGAGAATGTCACTTTAATGGACCCAGTTAGGGCTGATTCGCGGATCGGCTATGACGGGTCCGCGCAATGCCGACGGAAAACGCGGCAAAATGGGGCGCCGCTTGTATGCGCATGTCTCACCAGTCTGTGCCCGTATCGGGCAACTGAAGGCTGTCATTTGTGCTAAAATCATTCAGAGGAAAAACACGCATTGATAGCCGCTTTGTGCATCAAAGATTTGATTTGCAGTGCTTTTCGCAATCGTTTTAGATGTATTGCAATGACTTGTTGGGCACTTGGAGAACTCTTCCCGATTCAATCTTCCCTACCAACGGTAGCCGCTGTGTTCTTTGAACCGCCGGAAAAGGGCCCTTCCCGCAAATTAGCATGTACCCCCAAAAGGGTCGCCCGAGAAGAGTTTTCGGCATCCCCTCCACATTGAAACCAGCCACTTTCCAAAGCAGTTTGCCAATTTTCAGAAGCCCTCAACGCTTCACTCTAGGAGCCCGGCAAGAGCGTCCTGGACTTGCTTGGTCCTTCCATGTCCTTCCCGCCCTCCCGGGCACGGATGGCTCGTCCTAGGGGGGTGTTCGCCTCAAGCATTGTCCGGACTCAAAACAAATTTGGGACAGGCCGCGCCCCCCGAGAGATAGGTATCCCAGATGCATCAGCCACGGGAATCCCGAGTACCGGCCACCAGGCTCCAAGTCCGAACCTCACCCGCAAGGCTGAGCCAGCAACTCAAGGTAGGGGGAACACCAAGGTTTGCCCAACAAGAACTTGCCTTTGAAATGGGGGCCCATTTCAGGTTCCATGTTTTTTTGGAGAAATCTGCAAGAGTAGCATGAGCCTTCGAGCTGGGGAATCTCCCAGCGAATGATTGAAGCAGTCTTTCTCCGGACGTCTGGGGCCGGGTGTTTTTTTTTGCTATTTTGGATGGCCATTTGTTTTTCAGGGTGGGTGGCTTTTCGGATTTTTTGCTTTTGTGGCTGTTTATTTCGCATCCTCTGCATTCACAGTTCCTCTCTGTTTGTCTTTTCGCATCCTTTGCATTGCCAGTTCCGCTGCGGCAGGTGGCTTTTTGGCTTTGTGGCTTTTGGCGGCTTTCGCTTTTCGCTTTGGCCTTGGCTTCCTGCATCCTCAGCATCGCAAGTTCCTCTCTAGTGCCCCCCGGAACCCCCCCTTCGATTAAAAGCACGCCTGATTGAATCATCACTTTTTCGATCATCATGCGACAGCTACTGTTTAGATTCTTTGCCCCTAATTGAATCATCACTTTTTCGATCATCATGGGGGGCTGCCGCCCACCTCAACCCCCCCGCTGTATCATCACTTTTTCGATCATCATGGGGGGGGCTGCCGCCCCCCCCCCACCCAACCCCCCCCCCCGCTACTTTTTAGACTTTTTGCCCAAAATTGAATCATCACATCATGGGGGGGCTGCCGCCCCCCCCAACCCCCCCGCGCCTTTAATTGAACAATCATCATGGGGGCCCCCCTTCCCAACCCCCCCGCTGCTTTTTAGATTTTTTTTGCCCCTCATTATATGAATCATCACTTCTTGATCATCATGGGGGGGGGCTGCCGCCCCCCCAACCCCCCCGCTACTTTTTGCTTCGATCATCATGGGGGGGGGGCTGCTTCCGCCCCCCTGCTCCTTTTTGGATTTTTTTGCCCTTACTTGAATCATCACTTTTTTGATCACCATGAGGGGGTGCTGCCGCTGCCCCCCCCAACCCCCCCGCTGCTTTTTTGGATTTTTTGGCAGAGATTAAAATGCACCCTAATTGAATCATCACTTTTTTAATCATCATGGGGGGGGGCGGCGGCCCCCCCCCCAACCCCCCCACTACGTTTTAGGTGTTTTACAGGGATAAGTTTGCCCGTAATTGAATCCTCACTTTTACCATCATGAGGGGGACCCGGCCCTTTTTTTCACATGCGTACATAAATGCTTACCTACCTTGCCGCAGAGGAACTGATGATGCTGAAGACAGGAAGCGAAGGCGATTTGCTGGTGATGCTGGGGATGTTGGCTGGACATGCGGGGGATGTTCAAAACGATGCTGATGATGTTGACGGACTAAAATACGTACATTTCGCGAGAAAAGGCTGTAAATTACAGCATTGTTGTAGCCAGGACGGAAAACAAAAAAATCCAAAAATAAAACAAACAATTCCCAAAGTTAAATCTCGACCCTTTTAAGAAATGAAGCAAAGCCTGATTCCCAAGGAGGGTCAATCTGTCGTTAGAACCCGCAGGCCTTGATTCATAAGGCCGACCGTATGAGCCCAGGGGCAGATGTTGCAAGACTGGACGAACCCGGGCTTGTGCTTGATTTGTACTGCGGATGGTCACAACATGAGAACCCGGATGTTTTCAAATGTTGCTGACCCGCTCCCATTTTCTTTGCAGGCTTTAATCGGAAACACATTTTTTTTGTAGCTGGCTTGTTTTGGGGACCGGCGAATGAGCAGGGTTTTGCAGAAAACAACGAGCATTCCAGCAAACATGAGGTTTCCGTACACCAGATCGTTCGCCTTCAGCGGCTCGTCTTGCTTCTGATTCACTCGGCTTCGGCTCCGGCGAGGCAGCTTTACGCTGAAGGCATCCTCCAAACCCGAAATCTTGACCCCGAAGAAAACTTATAGTGACATTATGTATGCTTTGCTGGCTGGTGTTTGGATAGGCAGGTGAAGGGGAGAACCCAAAAAAACGAGCAAGTTGGAGGTTTCCATGCACCAGTTGTTGTATACCCAAGTGTCGGGCGGTTTGGGGGTAGTAAGAGCCCTCGTAGATATCCAAACAGACCAACGGGCACTTAGGCCGGATTTCGCCCAAGCGATTCCCCGTGCCTTCTGCGAAAAACCAATTGCGCAGCGAGCTGGGCGGAGGGATTGGTGTGGAAGGGCTGGGCCTTCATCCTTCCCTTACTCCAACGGGTAGGGACCGCTTGACAAATACCCAAATACCTGGTGTCCACTGAGGAAGCGAGTTGCCAGCGCCTTAGCGGTATCCTTCAAATCCCTTTTGTTCCCCTAAATGAGAACACATGACAGGGGCCACTTTGCATCTGGGCGTTCTTTGCATCCATCTTAGTCGCCAAATCTCCAGTTTTGTTGTTTGGCCCTTTTCTACATTCTTGGGTTTGGTTTAACCAAGGTCCCTTCCCCCCAGTCACGTTTGGGAATCAGTGGTTATGTTGTGGTTCCCCATTGGACCAGTCACGACGTACTGAAGGCGCGCAGGTGGAAGTTTGCTTTTTGAGAGGGTCCTGTTTGCACCAGTCGGAAGAAGTACCCAACCGGCAGCAACCGGCTCGCTGCCGGCAAGGTTGCGGTCAAGATCGCTTTCTGGCAAACGCATTGAGATGCCCACAAAAGAACTTCTCCAAGCCACTTGAGTCAAGCTTTGGCTTTACACTTTGCAACGTGAAGTCATTTTTGTGGAGGAGGGGGGTTGAGTGCTCTTTTCTCCCCATGGCGACTGGAAGTCTGGGTACTCTGCTTGGCTTTGCGGTTTGAATTCTGGCAAAGCCGCTCCAACTCCCATGCCCCTGCCCGGCCCTTGAGAAATACAAAGCGAATTGGAGCATTCCTTTCAAAAGCGGGGTGTGTGCAACCCAACCAATGAAAGGGCACCAATACTTGCTTGAAGCACATACCCAACAGCACCGGACGCAGACATCATCTTCGCCATGGGAATCTGAGCCAATGCAGGATCCCAAGGCCCTGGGGGTTAGCACGGGGGCTGCTCCCGTCAGCTGCAGTCCAAAGTGAGTCGAACCCGTTGACTTGTCTAGCTGGTTCTTGACCCAGGGAATGAGCAGGGGTAGTCGATTTGGCCGCAAAAAACAACGAGCAAAACCGGAAGCTTCCGAACACCAGACAGTTGTGGCTTTTGGGTTTCCTTTTGTGATGGCATCCTTTAGTGACCCTCCCAAAGGTATTTCCAGACCCTTGGGGCGGTGGGGGCCTCAAAAGGAGACACTCGTTGTTTGTTCCTTT